CCTCATGCCGTGTCATCCTTTATCTCATGAACTACATCCCAGGTGAAAAGCATATCACCTCGTTATGCAAGAAGTTATCTCCACCCCTCGTCACATTGCTTTCCAAGCCGCCCGAGGTCCAATATCTGGCATTGCGCAATGCTATCTTAATTCTTCAGAAGAGACCGGAGGTCTTGCGGAATGACATCCGTGTCTTCTTCTGCAATTACAACGACCCAATTTACGTCAAAGTCACCAAGCTGGAGTTGATGTTCATGCTAACCACAAAAGAGAACATCCCGATCGTATTGGCAGAGCTCCGAGAGTAAGAACTTCTCGGATTAATTGTATTAAACCTGTACTGATATCCTTCGCAGATATGCCACTGAAATTGACGTTCACTTTGTGCGCAAGGCCGTCCGAGCCATTGGCAAATTGGCAATCAAGATTGAATCCGCCGCAAAGCAGTGTATCGAAACGCTCTTGGAGCTGGTCGATGCCAAGATCCCATACATTGTCCAAGAAGCAACAGTGGTGATTCGCAACATCTTCCGCAAATATCCCAACCAGTACGAAAGTATAATCAGTCATGTTATCCGAAACATCGACGATCTGGATGAACCTGAGGCCAAGGCAGCCGTAATTTGGATCATTGGCCAGTATGCGGACCGCATTGATAACTCAGATGGCCTCCTTCAGGATTACTTGGCCACATTCCACGACGAAACAGTCGAAGTGCAGCTGGCCCTGCTCACGGCTACCGTCAAACTTTTCATCCAACGCCCCACAAAGGGCCAGAAGCTCGTACCACAGGTACTGAAATGGTGCACCGAAGAAACAGACGACCCTGATCTTCGTGACCGTGGTTACATGTACTGGCGCTTGCTGTCAACGGACCCAGCAACTGCCAAGCAGGTTGTGATGGGCCAAAAGCCCCCAATCACAGCCGAGAGCGAAAAGCTGGACCCACGCACTCTTGAGGAACTGTGTCTGAACGTCGGCACTCTAGCCACTGTCTACCTCAAGCCTATCCACCAAGTCTTCCGCGCTGCCCGCCCTAGGCGTCTCCTACCTAGCCCAGCCTTGCAACGTTCGCATGTCGACGACGGTACAGGCAGTATGCTCGAATACAACCCTCCCTCCGCAAGCATGGCCTCCGCCTCAACCAGTAATAGCGGTCTAGCCACAATCATCACCACAGGTGATCCCGTCACGCCAATGTACAACGGGCCTCCTCCTCCTCTACCCGTCGCCCCGGGCGTCAACCCCGCAACTACAGGCCCTAGCAACATGAACGAGGCAGCAGATGCAGCAGACGCTTACTTCAGTGGTATTGGCTCTCAGCAGATGGCCTCGCTAGACCTTGATGGTGCTGGTGGTGGAGGTGCGCCTCAGGCACAGTACGTTGTGACTCAAAATCAGCAGCAGGGGTATCAGCCACAACTAGCTGGTGGAGCTGCCACGGGAGAGCTATTATTGTTATAATTCAGTCTAGATAGGGGGGTACTTGTACATGTAGATAGAAGACGTTTCTCATGCAGACAGCGCCTAGTAATTACAAAATATTTTCATTTGAGAATTTGAATTTTCTAGGGTTTCTCTCATCCACTTCCAGATTGACAAAAATCTTATCCCAGAAAATCTCCAGGTTTTGCTTCCACGGAAGATGTGAAATATGTAAGAGTATTTCTCGTTGATCTAATGCTTTCATCAAGTAACTGTTTTTCTTCTACCTGACACAAATACTCTCCATGCTGTGTTAACCATCTGCCTTCAAAGAAGCAGCGACAGCAGACCAGGGTGACACATGAAACAGCGGACGCCCACCAAAGAAATCGCGATAATCCAACTTGAACTTGATTTTGAACGGACCAGGAAGCCTTGAACTTCCATGATCCACGAACGGGGGAACAATTCGAAAAATAAAAAAAAATCAAACAGAAACAAGAAACATGAAGGGGGGGAAAGGGGGGGAGGGGAGCAATGAGTATAATATGGAAAATAAAAAACAAAGTAGGCAGAGAAAAAGAAAATTCATCTCAAGTCATGTCCGTTCCTCTTCTAAGCAGAAGGTCCCCACCACTCTTCGCTTTTTTTCTTTTCAACTCTCTCGGCACACTTATGAGACACAGGCCCCGCTTAGTAGACGCGAGCGAGGTTGCGCAGGTACCAGTCGACCAGACGGCGGCCGGCCTTGGTCTCACTGACGTGGATCAGGTCGTCCTCAAGAGCGTAGTCGAGATCGTTGGCGATAGCAGGCTCGCCATCCAGGAGACCACCGTCGACCCAGCGGATCTGGCGGCTGCGCTGCTTGTTAACGAGCAGCCACGAGCGGAGCTGCTCGGGGGACACCTCGAGGAAACCTGCAAGTTTCTTGAGGTCCATAGTGGTGTAGAGCTTGAGGTAAGAGCGGATGGTGGGGTTGAATAGGGTGTTCTTGACCTCGTCCATGAAGATGGCGGTGTGGTGGTCGACGGGGTCGACGTTGGAGGCTGGGTTGTCGAAGTCGGGAGGAGTAGGGTTAATGAACTTAGGGCAGGAAGAGCGGAAGAGCTCCTCGAAGACGGGCAGGGCCTCGGGGCCACCCTTCTGCATGCGGTAGAACTGCTCGCCGTACTTCTCACGGACGGCCGAGTGGATGGTGTCATCCAGACGGGTGGGGTGGAGAGCGACACAGATGGCGATCAGGGCGTACATCTGGTCGTTCTTCTTGGCGATGGCTTCGTAGTTGTTGCCACCCTTCTGGAAGTTCTTTGTCCGGGACACATACACGAGGATGTGGCTGAACATGCGGATGGCGTCACCGTAGCGGCGCATCATCATGTAGGAGAAGCCCACGTAGTAGTAGGTGGTGAAGTGGGCGGCCATGACACGGGCGAACATGGCCTTCTTGTTCATCTCGACGTCGTCGAGGATCTTCAGGGCAAGGCTGAAGTCACCGAGGAGACAGTGCACACGCAGCAGTCCGATGATCGAGAAGTAGCCGAGCATCTTGTACAAGGGACGCGATCCGTACTCGCCGGCGACAGCCATTGGGTCCTCTCCGCGCTTGGTGGCATTCAATTGCTCGCTGATCTGCGAGCGCTGGATGAGAGAGTAAAGCACGTTCAGCACTGAGTAGCAGCCCCATGTGTTCGGGTTCTCGCGAAGTAACTGGCTCTCCTCCTCGTTGGATCCAGTGCAAGCAACGCGGTTGCGGTAACGGCAGAAGGATTCGAATTGGTAGATGAACTCGTCAATAACTTCCCAAGCCCAGTAGTACTGATTGTAGAGAAAAAAGCATCGTTAGTTTTCTGTACTTTGTTTTGAGGGATGGGATCGACCTGTTGATTTCCCGAATGCCAAGCTTTTACTTTTCATTCGCGGCGTTCAACAATCGGTCGGCGAAACGGGATACCTACGTTAGGAACTTCCAAGTCCACGGGGCCATCGGAGTTCAGGATATAGTGGAAGAGACTGCAGTAGTTGTCGTAGCTAGCGAATTTGGTCTCAAGAGTAGCCTGGTATTCCAGCGGGGTGGCGGCGGCGGCCAACTGGGCTTGGAGGTCTTGGGTCTGCGATGCACCGTGCGACAAAGTCTGGTCCAGCTCGCTCATTCCATCGTCGTAGTTCACCTGTTCGCGGTAGTCGTTGGCCATAGCCTCCTCCTCATTATCGGACTCATCGTTCAAGTTGGGGCGCGCATTGGCGCGGTCTTCGTAGGACATGTTGAGTGGGAGGGGGGAAAGTAAAGAGTTAAAAATGCAGCAAGAGGCCGAGATGAAACGGCAGTGAGAAATCGGAAGGGTCGAGGTGGGGAGAGGGGGGGGGGATAGCGTCGGCGTGTGCGATTTGCCAAAGAAGTTGAATTTTGAGGGTTTTCGCTTGGGTGTTTGTGCTTATCTTATCTGCGCATAAAGCATGGGCAATGACTCAGCTGTGCCAATTTCCAAGGTTTGTGCATGGTGCACTCAGTAAGGTGTAGGTACCTGATACTAAAAGTGTCACCTGTTTTGGCTGTAAATTCTTGTACTGTCTACTTCCGCAACGAATATAATTTCAACATTGCTATAGCTTCACAACCACCTACATACTTAAGTACCTACATTTGTAAGTAGAAATTTAATGAGTAGTATGAAGTAGTAAATTTTCTTGAAGTGTACAACATGCTAATGGAAGGGGCAATAGACACTTTGAACGGACTTGATCCTTCTTTCTGGTTGTTCCGCGTCTTGATATAAAAAGTTATACTGTATACTCTCTCTACTTCCAACACGTGTTTAAAGTATAGCTTAGTGCACTAGGTGTATGTAAATACTTAAACTATGTATGTACATGTGTCTACCTGTTCCCATCTAGTAAGGTGTATGGCAATTCCAATCATAAAAGCACAATAGACAGACGTAATAGGGCCCAACGGTGTCACAGCAGAACAGCAGACAGAGGACGGCTGGCTTTAGCACATTACCAAGTCAGTTCAACTCAATAACTACTTTTGTACTTTCTAGGTGAATTCTGAGAAGTCCAGCACTAGAGAAAACCAGGATTTCTCGAGTATGTGATTTCATTAACTAGCTAGGTAGGGGTAAAATATGTAAGGAAAAACTTCCGGTGGATCAGAGGCCAGCAACTGGTTGCCTGTCATCGGCTAACACTTTTCTGCAGATGACAGTCCCTTCCCTTCCCCTCAGTCACCGTCGGCACCTCTTCCCCCCCCCTGTTTTTGCTCTAAACCACAGACGGTGATACTGCACATCCTCGTATCTAGACCGGAGCGCCAGGAAGGCAGAGATTTCACTGGCCATCACCGAAGATTTAGGTAGGCCAGTTCAAGCGTTTACTCTGCCATGACGGTTTTCTGGTATATTGCAGCTTTTCCTTAACACCCCCGTTTCAACCTTTCCGTCGTAACACCTCCATTCCGCATCTCCACCTTTGTTTCACCCAAGTCTGCAGCAGGATGAACTCTCTTCACATATCGTTCATTTGGTAGCAGCATAGATGGGTCCATACAGTCAAAAATACAGGCGCCATGCAAATTTTCAGGGTTCAAAACTCCTCCACTGTTCCGGGTCATCGAAGAGTGCAATAGCCTCGGGTGGCAGTCGTACGCTTAGGTGCAGTGCGTTATTTCTGATCTCATGGATCACGTCGGCTGTTTGCTTAAACCTTTGACTAAGAGCTGTTCCAAACCGACAGAGCTCAGCAAACGCCTGTCTTGATTCGTCTTCCAACTCATGAACTAAGATCCGGAGACCGGTCTGTACGGCATCGACTACCTGGCTGGGTATATGTTTGAGGCCATACGACTGACGATGGATGCGAAGGCATTGCGCCGTTTCCTCGGCGGACTTAACCTGATAGTATCGGGCATCTCGGACAGATTCTGGCTGATGAGGGTCTTTCAACATCTCAAACATATATATGATAACCTGGAGACATTTAATTCTTCACGCGCTATCAGCACAGAAACAATCAGGATGCATGCAATAGGAAGGCAGTGATGCTTACCGCAAGAGAAGGACTTGTGGGACTGAATTTCGTTGTATCTCGGGCACGCTCGGCCAGCGTTGCAGCCAAGAATTCAAACGATCGAATGGGTCTTGAGCTTTGTTCCACAACTCCCTAAAGCTGGCACCCCGACTTTTGTCAGAAACGAGCTTCTGGACATCGACTAAGATTATGGTGACCTCAGCCAGTCCCTCCCTAACTTGAGGCAGACAGGCTGGCTTTTTATCATATATTATATTGTTTGAGCGAGGGTATGGGGTCCAGTCAAGGTCTTCGTTGCCACACAGCTTGACATCGGAAGTGGGATATGCCGAGGGAGTAATCTTCTGCAGCTCGATCGACATTTGTCTGCACCTGTTGATTAGACATTGCTCGTTTCTGTGTGGATGGGGGCGCTTACGAGCTCATGCTGAAGACACCCCAGGCAGTGATCGTGCGAACCCGTTCCATCTCCGGCAGTATCTCTTTCGGTACTGCTGGGATATCAAACAGTCCTATATCCCGTGCTAGCTGAACTGCTTGACAAAGCATCATCCAGCTTTTTTTGACTCGTCCTTGGCATTTAAATCTGCAAGAAATCAATATCGTGGACATGACTCGTTTGCTACAAATCAGTGGGTAACATACACACAGCACATTATGAGGAGGGCCTGGATGTTAGGCAGGTCTTGGCCATCATCTTCGACTTCCCATAAGTTTTGTGCTTCCTGGAAAAAGTTCTGGCCTCGCGAGAACACGTTCTCGGAAGTGGAAAGAACGTCAGGACTATCAGAATAGGCCTATATTGGGGTTAACTAATGGTTTCGCAAAGGGGTAATTTACGGGATTCATACGCTGGCCATGGACAATATGCTATTGACGAGAAGGGGCGTGCAGAACTCTGATCTTCGATCCCCGAGTTTCATATGTTCGAGGAAGATACGTTGATCAAGGAACTGCGAGCATGGGTGGTCCCAGGTAAAGTAGAGCGAGACTAGGTGCGAGACCAAATAATTATCATCTGTGACCTTCGTCCACGGCTTTGCCGGCACCTCAAAGAGAGGTATGTCGCAAAGGCTCTCCAGTGTGACACGAGCATAAGGGCTGGCTATTGGCCATTGCGGAGCTTTCATATTTGGAATCTCATCCGGCGTGACGGGGGCATAAGGACTAGTTGTTGGCCATTGCGGAGCTTTCATATTTGGAATCTCATCCGGCGTGATGGGGGCATAAGGACTAGTTGTTGGCCATTGTGGAGCTTTCATATTTGGAATCTCATCCGGCGTGACGGGGGCATAAGGGCTAGTTGTTGGCCATTGTGGAGCTTTCATATTTGGGATCTCATCCGGCGTGACGGGGGCAGAAGGGCTAGTTGTTGGCCATTGCGGAGCTTTCATATTTGGGATCTCATCCGGCGTGACGGGGGCAGAAGGGCTAGCTGTTGGCCACTGCGGAGGTTTCATTTTTGGGATCTCATTCGGTGAGCTTGCTATATCCCCAGGGTGTGACGGCCGTCTCACCCTGTTGCCCGAAGTTTCTATGGGATGCTCCCCATAGTCCAAAACCATTGGTTTGCTGGCATCCAACAGCGCTTGGAGGTCCCCGAATGTCGTGACCGAGCATCCGACAGCATGGGCGATGTCTTGGAACGGAGCCCTTTTCCGGATCAAATCCACCACTTTGTCAAACTGGAGTTGGTCATCCGACCCGAGGGTGCTCAGCAAAGAATCTAGTAGGTCTTTGTAGTTTGTGAGCTCCTGGATCGTCCGCTTGACAGCAACCTTTCGCCTGAGGTCTCGGGTTGGATCAAAGGAACATATGGTGCCAGCAGATCGACAAGCTTTACATGGGGGGTCTGGTCCAGAACACTATATCGAGCAGATCGCAACAATTAGCCATTTTGTTCTGAATTCTCGGACAAGACGGAGAGGCAGAAACGGAAAGGAAAAACAGGTATCCACTGATGCACCGACTCACCTTCCTCTTTGCTTGTTTGCATGCCAGGCAAGCTGTAGAATTCTTCTTTGGCCTACTGACAGCAGTCGACGTCTGCGGAGCGAACATGCGCGGCGGCCCCGGAGCCAACGTGGGGAAATGTTTCGTGTTCTCGTGGGGGCTCATCTTCATTTTCAAAAGATCAGCCTCGCCGAGTATAATCTCCAAAAGGAATGCCTCGCGATTTCTGATTGAAATATACCGCGACTGAAGCTTCCACGGCAATGGGAATTTGATGAAGTAACGATTGGTAGGAACTGATTTTTGGGACGGTGTAGGCAAAACGATCCTCTATACAAGACTAAAGCACGGTCCTAACGCTTCCTCTTATGGGCCATCGAAATCGACGTCTCCAACGTCTCACCAGCACGATGTCAGAAAGGGGGCAAGTGTCATGTCGCAATGATACGGGCGTCGGGGCGATGCGTTATTTACGCATGAAGGTGGGACACAACTAAAAGAAACTATTCTGGAATCGGTCAAAGTGATCAAAATCCACCTGCAGGTGACAAGATCCTAAAAGCGAGAGGGGTCGCGTTGGCAAACAGAAGGGGAGGTTCGACGCCCGTCACACAACCGGGGTAACCCGGTAGGCCAAGCTCGAATTCAACAATTATTGGAGAACTAGCAAATTCAGAAATCTGTCAATATAAGCCGATGGTAGGAAGCAGATGGGTGAAGGGAGCCATCGAGTTGAAACTAGCCTGAGAGATATTGTCAAGAGATTCGGGGGATCGAGGACAACCCGAATACGGAAACCCTACCGGCTTGAACTCACTTGAACTAACCTTTTGGAAAGCACGAGATACCAAATCCCACAAATCAAGGGTGAATAAAAAAAGGAATCAGAAAAAAAGAATGAAAAAGAGTATGGGAAAAAAATAATAAAGCGGCATCCACCCTAGACCCTAGACCCTGTAGGGATGTATCAGTACGGGGAGCACTAAAAAATGGCTTTTTAGGGGACGTAATCTCTACAATTTTGATACTTTCTCGGAATACATGCCTTAATTGGAACTTGGATTCTTTGATTTGCTTTGATTATCAAGTTTGTTCCACTCATCCGATGACCTTTTCTAAGAACATCTGATTCTACTTTTCATCTCCTGATTGTTTGTCTGGTTTACTCGGGTTATTATATTGGGAAGCTCATATGTGAATCACATCTCATCCCCCTCCTTAACCTCCACTTTTTTTTTCTCTCTCCCGTGAACTAGTTGAGACGACATGTTACGAGAAACCTCCATATAAATATTATATCCTAAGAAGCATTTGTAGAGAATATCGCTCGGTTTACTAACCCGCCACGTTCATACCACCTGCAGCCTTCGCTCTAGGATGAAACCAAGATTTCAACCCGGACGGGAGCCTGGAAAAAGAATCCAAATGGCAGGGTTCCCAACCCCAGGCCAAAAATTCCAGCACACCGGTTGATGGGACGCCCACGAGATGTGCTGCTAAACACTGTGATAGGGAGTACTTGAAAGTGGACACACATATATGAGTACGGGAGGAGCATCTTGGAACCTTGTCCCAAAGTCTTTTCCGCTGTGGATCGAATCGGGATTTACAGGCAGGGGGAAGAAGATGCATCCGCGATTGAACCTCTACCTCGTAACCAGATCTATAGATCCTCATATGTTATTCGTTATTCTTGATTATATATTGTTATCTCGATAATTGCTGAATCCTCCATCTAAACCCTATGATTCGCCAGGATCTTGCTCTCCTTCAAGCCAGACGCGTCCATTTTTACTTGATACATCCTACGTAACTTCTTCCGATGCTTTTCATTGGCGGTTAAAACAACAGCCAATCGGAACTAGAAAAAATTCATTTTCTTTCTTGGCATTCTGTCAGTTAACTCTGAACATCAAGCAACCAGCACCACTGCACTGTGTTACCAGCCACAGCCACCTGGGTGCCTGGGCAATATTTCAAGCTCCGAATATCTAGATTGCACCGCCATATATATAGATCGTATCTTTCTTGTATATTGTATCCACCACTACTGACATGCTGTGGAATACTTTTCCGAAGGACTCTCCGTATGAGTTTATTACTCCGGCACTATCTATGCAGGTTTTCGGGCTGTCGCAATTAGACTTATAATCTTACAATCTCTTATACTGATAGTGAGTTCCGCGGAGAAATTTGTTTCTCGCCCCCCCCCCAAGAAAAACAAAGAGAAAAGAGAAAAAAGGAACTAAACTAAGAAAAGCAAACTTAACTTATGCGCCCGGTAAATTGAAATTCGAGATAACGCTTGATCTTAGGCTCGTATTCCTTTACACCCTATCGCTTAAGGTTGTTTGAAACTCTAAAAACATACATGTACTTCGCCTCCGAAGTTCCAGCCCTGATTAGATGCCCGGGATCAGGAGCCAGTGAGATCGACTATGCGGCTGAGATCCCCCTCTTTCTTTTCCCATGTCTTAGGTATTTCACTTCCCCAATAACTGTTTCCCTATCCCTGCGACGCGAAGTACAGCACATGAAGGTGTAAATTGTCTGCAATGTAACGTGAGCTACGAGTCTCTATCACCTGCATGTGTGATGAAAGCGCCTCCTCGCCTTTTTAGGATAAGACTCCTGCCAAAAGCAGAATTGGCGTGAAGCAAGACAAAAAAAAAACGCAGTTATCCTATAGCTTTGGCTGATATGCTCGGTAGTTTCGATTTGAATATTCGACACTAGACCACTTTCGAATCGACTTACATGTGCTTATCTATATTTGGTTAGATCTGTCTCCCTTTCTCTCCTCCCCATACCTCGATATACTTTGCACGGAGTTATACAAATTTTATATCGTATGGATCAGAGTTGAGGTCATTTCATTCTTAATGGTTCGGAGAAAACAGCCAGATGTCTTTGGTTGGTCGGATATGTTTACCGTTAGTGGTTCCATGGTCCCCCCTCTCACCCCCCCGCTTTTTCAAAGTTTACTATATTTGTACTCCTTAGCCTCGTTCAGATGACACGAAATTTGCAGTTTGAACACATGTATTTACATGGATATGCTTACTAATAACCCATGCGGTGTACGTCCACGGGTATAAACACTTCATTTAACTTTTATACCTTAAACTTCCTCGGATTTTTTACTTTCAAAGAACTACGGCCCGTTAATGCATTGCAGCTGTAGCGGGGTATTCAAGTATTTAAGTATTTTTAATCTAAATTACTCAATTTTTGCCAAGATCTTTCTCATTATTCGACCCAATAAACCCAACTCTTGCATATCTCCACCGGGGCATTGGTTTCTAACACCTGCCATTCTATTCCGTACAATATACGCAAGCCATGTTTGCTCTTTTCCTTTCTTTTTGTTTTTTGAGCCATTTATAATCTTTAGGATAAGACCAGGTGCAAGTACTATGAAGCAAACAATAGTTCACTGATCATATACGTCATATTATTACGTTCCGTCTTTGGAATTTTTCTCTCACAAACCCCTTGATTTGAACCCGGTCGGTTCTGTATCCAATCGCCGGATACCAACAAGCGATGCTTGTGGCACACGCACATGTCAGTATCCAGCTGCATTATTAACTTGAGATCTGTCACGTATCAAGGAAGCACCATCCTGAAAATTGGTAGATCACGCCTTTGCAAATATACTCAGACTGCGTGGTGAACGACAACTGCCGACCAATCGTTCAAGAAGCAATTATCAGGGTTCTTGGCAATGTAGAAAATATTACTCCCTTTCTGTGGTATCTTGGCCGGAATCGATAGCCTGGACTTATAGTGTGGACTATTATTTATGTAGCCATGGTTTAATGGTGTCAAGCCCACTAATACCTATTAGCATTGGTGTGCCCGAGCGGATAACAAATTCTCACCGGGTCATAAATTGCCAACCTGAGATAAAAGATATTTAGTTACCTAATGCATTTTGTTAACTATTTACAACAATGCCTCTCAAGTAGAACAAGCACATATATCTAAAATGAACTGGATAGATACATGTTGATAGCGAGATGCTTCCGGAAGCAAGAGGACCGATAGCTTATAACTACCAATCCGTCCACCTAACGACAGAGTTGCTTCAATTTATCAATTTGGGCCATTCCACCCTTGACCTCTCCTCCTAACGTCGCAATGTCCTCGGGGGTCATTGCTCTTCTCGCCTTTGCCGCCTTCGCAAAAAGCGCAGGAGCTCTAATCATGTCGAGAACACCAATTCCACCGAGAATAGCAAGGAAAATTTCAGCAGGTCCGCTGTCCTTCTCGCTCACGATACCATAAATGCCGAAGCCTGCATCACCAGCGGCACCAATGGCCCTCAGCGTGATTGCGACGGCGGCCAATCCCGCCTCGTCCGCTACCTCTCCCACGCCAAGAATGAGTAGGAGCAGAGCGGTAACGAATAGGAGAATGATCTCTTCGACCTGCTCTTTCTGATATTCCTCCCCGATCTTCTCAACACTCTTCATACTGGTAATCGAGTTCGATACCGTGAGTACGAGCATCGATGCTCCGTCCACAACATCGTTTGTGTCACCCAGATATAAATCACTGGTTGCGAGCGAGGCGAGGGTATCGGACTGACCTTGGAAGGTCGTGATGTTTGGAAGTCGTCCCGAGATGATATTCTTAGGGTTGCTGACTGTAAAATCATCCGGCAGAACAGGTTTGCCGATGTTCCTGCTGCCACTGCATACTACCGGTTGTGGAGGGATATTCGGCGTGCAATGAGATCGATCGATTTCCCATATAAGCTGATCAGGTGTGATTCCGATTGTCTCTCCAATGTCATTCAAGAATCCTTCTTTGTCCTTCGCAGTCCAGTAGAAAACTGCATAGCCTGTGTCCAACGCGTTGGAGGGACACTCAGAGCTTACATTCTTGCCTTCTGGCTCTCCATCAGATGAGTGTAAGGGACTGAGAGGTGCAATCAAAGTAATTGGAGGTGTTCGCCTTCAAAAACGTGGCAAGAGATTTAGGGAACTGATCTCTGACGGCATCCTCGTACCAGCCAAACTTCTCATCATAGTCGGTCTTCAAAACATCATGATACTTCGCGAGCGAGGATGTGAGATTGCCATTCAAAGCCTGGATCAGGTAAGTATTCATACATTTGGGATCGATTGAATCGGCAGCAGCCTCTACATCGTCTAGGCTGTCGAATACTTGATCGCAGTTGGTCAGCTTTAATGGTTGCAGTACGGTGCCGTCCGGAAGTTCGGCCACAAACTCATTCAGGTCCATCGCCCAGAGACTGGTCCCAAGAACGGTTCTGTTGTACCACCAATCCGAGATCCGGTTGTTTCTCTCCTCATCCATATAGGCCACCCATGTCCCGTTGGTGGAGTAAGAGATTGTAATTAATTATTAATTATTATCTATAATATCATTATTAGATCGGCTAACCTCGTCGAAGTAGGTAGTGATATTCTGATCACCCTGCAGCCACTCTTGGATATCTGCATTCGCAATGTAACCGGGTGTCCGAGTGCATCTTCCAGGCATGGCTGTAGAATCAGGGCCCGTGAACTTGCACTCTAGACCAAAGCAGGCCGGGTCGACCATTCCAAATGACCGGCCGTAGCTAGCAAGATCCGCGACGATTTTGCTGTTGGGGACTCCAGCCTTGGTGATCATTGACAGGGAATTCAAGATTTCTGTGTTGTTGATGTGAGATTGGAGACAGGCACTGCCGTCGCAACCATCAGCCGCCCAAGTACTGTTGTAGTCCCATTGGCCGTGCAGATCATAGGTCATGTACACGATGTAGTCCACGACCGACGAGATATTCTTGATAGGGAAGCCCTTGAGATACCAATAGGATGAGGGAGCTGCGATAGATAAAGTTTTGTCCGAGGAGAGCTTGTCTCGAACCTCTTTCAAGAATTGAAGGTATCAATCACCACCACCTGAATCACCTGCCGGAATTCCAAGGATATCAGGGGCACCGGGGTACTCCCAATCAAAGTCCAAACCGTCAAGGTCATTGTCATCGGCAAATTTTGCCACGTTCGATGCGAATAATGAACGCTGTTCACCTGTCACCCCCTTTCTGAAGATGGCATACGAGTCCAAATCTGTGGAGAACGACCAACCACCGAAGGACAAGACCTTTGGCTTTTTCCTCGGAGATGAGTACTTCTTGAAATCATCAAACTCATCCTTGACACTCGAGACATCAACTTCGAATTTTTCAGAGATGTTGGCGAAAGCAAAGTGGATATGGTCCCAAGTTTGATCAAAAATTGAATGACCTCCATCTTGGCCACCCCACTCAACCGTGTTGTTGATCGCTGTCACATCCAGATTCAAACACGGTCGCGTATTCTGGAAGGCTTCATGGTATCCAACCAGCACTGGATGGTCGTCGAAGCCGGTATCATCAAAAACGATGTCAGTGCCACAGTTGGAGATACATCCATCGGTGCCATTCTTCGCTGTTGCAGGTGCACGTGTGGTAGACTGTTCGAAATATGTGTCAGTTATTGCTTGACTGATGTAAATATCACACACACACAAAAAAAAGAAAAAGCCAGGCTTTTAGCCCAATAGCACGTACGTTGGTTTTTGTGCAGAATTTTGCAGTAGTGCCGCATTGGCTATCAAGTTGTGTTAGATCTATTGAGATGGGAAAATAGGACTTGGGTCACTCACCCCCAAATATCGCAGCAAGCATTGAGAGGGCAAAGATTCAGGCTCTCAATATCATCCCAATTATCCGGTCTCTTGGTCCCAGCCTTTTGTGGGCCGCATACAGCGGTCTTCAGAACAGATGGCATTGGCGGATCTCCCTTGCTGACACAAATTTTGGCTGTTTGAAAATAATTAGTTTTGTTTAGTTCCAAACAACGTGTACATGGGTTTTGTTGGCGCTTACCACCAGCCTGGATGGGGGAACAACCTGTCCAGCCCCACGACTTGGCGTCCCAATCTTTGATATTGTCTGTTGTAATGCTGTTGGCAGCGGCAATTTTCTTACAGTCATCGTTGTTTTGAACTGTATAAGTCGCACAGGTTCCATCTGCATTTGGCTTTGGAGAGTAGTCGGGAAGCGTTCCGGCAGAGCAGCATATGTGTTGCCCAGCACGCAAATCCGAGCATACAGTTTTGCCCGGGTTGTACTTTGTGAAGTCGGCAGGGGAGGTTCCACAGCGAGTGGCGAGAGTAGGGCAGATGTCACCATCGTTGACCTTGATAGCGCTGCAGGTTCCACGGCGGTGCATTTTAGAGTGTAGTCTCTTGCCATGCGAGCTTCCATGACTATGTGTACTGTTTTTGTTGCTTGGGAGAGAAAAATCGTCCTCGGCTTCGCCAACTAAGATATTGGAGTTTGAGCTTCCGCTGTATCCTGAAGCAGTATCCTGAAGCACATTGACCGTTGTTCCAAGTTGCAAGTGCTTCTTGCACAGCACTTAAAGCTTCAGCAGGCTCTCCACTTGCTTCGGCTGCAACACCAAGGTTATAAGCTGCGGGACGGTCGCTGTTGCAGACCTGCGTCATTATGCCAGATTTGTGCAGTTCTCCTTGAGAAGCTTTAACGAAGGATTGGAGGACGCTCTTGTCCTTGCTCTTCTCCATCTTGGAGCCAATAATGCTCCGAAGGCGACTCCATTCGAGTAGCCCATAGCAATGGTGGCATTCTGATTGACAGGGGCATCGAAATGAGATTGTACAAGTTGAGCTGCGACTTCTGCATGAGATGAGTACTGGCTCGTTTCCTCTCCACGCCACGCAGTCTCCATCTGGACATTTTTGGTCGAGTAACGTGTGGCACTTGGCATATCGAGGACTTCGGCCGTCGAAGTCCCAATTTTGTCTACACCGGATGTTGAACAGGCATACAACGGTTGGCGAATATTGGGGTCATCAGTGGGATTGCTCACCACCAGGTTCAGGAGCATTGGCTCATCGCATGATTTGAGAATGCGTAGATCGGAATAGAAGTCCCAGTCGTTTGGATTGGCACTCTCGCACGTCGAAGGACAGGCATTCCATTGTGTGGCAACGTAAGGGTCTGTCACAACGTGGGAAGAGGCCGCCGCAGCTAACAAAGCCACCTGGCTTAAGACACTGAGGTATGTCAACAAGCCCATTTTGAATTTTCACAAGATACCTTAGCACATGTATGACTTTTGAAAATTCTTGGCATGGGAGAAATGAGGGCAAGGGGGTATGTCAGAAATATCAAAAGAGAAACGCTTAACAAAGCTGAATGATTGTGACCAGAGTATATAAAAGTGGCCGTCGGTGCGGGTCTTAAAATGAAAGAAAGGAAAGAAAGTCGTGATTATTTGGTGATAAAACCCAGGGAATCCGCCCTGGTATGTACTTCGGTACCAGGTACCAGGTAGATATTTCGGGGCTTGAAAAGAAAAAGGGACCATTCCGAATCACCTCGGCATTGGCTGGATCTTCTTGTTCCCGATCAGGGGTATGTTGTATGAGAGTTTTGAAAAGCCCCACGAGTCGGCTTGTTAGTTCGAATGCTCATGCGTCTTTCGATCCACCCTCATTTCGGACGATACACCAGTGCGAGGCTGGTCTTAGCACTTCGCCTACTCACCAAGCCAAAAACAAGCATTAGCGTTAGCGTGCGAATACGGATCCATTTTTAATATAACTACTCCACACTGAGTACAACATACACAACTAAGCCTTGGAAAGCTTTGGGATAGGAGGATTTCTTGGCGCAAATGATTCTCGGTACGAAGTATGTTTACGGATATATATACGAAATACAGGATTCCGAGGTTGGCCCCGGGGTCTGAAGAGAGGCTTTTTAGTCTCCATGTGGTAATAAAATTTGTAATACAAATAATTACAAACTGGCGGTCTGTACGAAGTGGACTGTAGTAGAAATAGGTAGATACTACGAAGCACGGAAATACATATGCCGTTGCTGGCCAATTTATGACCTAAACAAGAAATGATTTTGCGAGGGACGAGTAGCGTAGGACGATCAGTGCTAGATTAAATTAGGTTGGACTCTACTCTGTTCCTGACAAATATCTATACATTCCATCCGCCATATTCCGTACATCAAGTCCAACCATTCTGGCATGAGGATTCATTTGGTGCGTTATTTTCTGATTGGAGCTAGCACCACTTCATTTACAACATATGGCTATGTATTAGTTTGGAAATTCCGCTCAGCCTTGAGTTAACCAAACCCTCCCCCTGTAGATCGGGCCAGGGTATGGTCTTGTACAGCAAATGGCCAACGCTAGAGAAATCTAGTACACTTTTGAAACAATACAGCCAGTAACCGATTTCCAAGGACGATTATAGTTTGGGTAGGGTTCCAAACTAGGCAGATGTAGGAGCTATGGAGCAAGTGCTGGTAACGAGGATTACAAGAATGCGCAGATGGTATGACTGAGCTGGAGTTCTACTTCTCTTGCATCTCGAGACACTTTTTCCAGCCCGTCTCTCTACGGGTGTCTTGTCCTCAGAATGTAGTTTCCTCTTTTCTTCTTGGTTGCTCTCTGTATATCGAAAGCAGCCGCTTTCGGTTTATACGGCTGCTATGAGCGCCTCATGTACTGGCAAGCCTCCCAGATGGACAGCGGGTCCAAGAAACAAAAAGTCGCAAAGACCCTGCTCGAGAGACACAGAGGTCGCTAAGATGGTTGGCCCGGTCAGTGGAGGTCGATGCAATGTAAGACAATTCCTCTATTATGCCTCAGACAACAAGCAGGAAAAGGAAACCATCGCGGACAAGACCAAGCTCAAAGATGCAGACCTCGCCAAGGAGAAGACCGCACTCGACGAGGTTGCTTCTAAACTCTACAAAGCTGGCGTGGGAAGGACCTACCAACCCGGTCACATCTACGAGAGTTTGAAATCTAACTCTGGGATCCATGAGGTTATCGAAAACGTTGCCGCGTAAGCTTGCGGCCTGCTCCAGTGTACAGCCAAAAATACTAACGACGGAAAACAGATTCATTGAGCAAACGGCCTATTTGGACGAGGATAATGGCAAGCCGAGCAAACAATTGTTTGATCTAGCTGAACAGGCCCGAGGCCGAGTCCAGTACGGACGACAGGCCAACGCCGCCCGAGATACAGGAACGGAGATTCGGAACAAATACGATCACGAGGTTTGGGAGAAGCAACCAAAGAATAAGAAAGGTGAAGTGGAGAAGGACGCCCCGTTGGTTGAGGGGGGATTGGTCAAGGAAAGAATGGGTATTCCTGATGGAGGTGTCGAGGGATAGATCACTTGCGATCTACAGGAAGCGAAAACGTCGGTTAACGCTGCGGAGACAAAGGCTGGCAGAGACCCAATGAAATTGAAAGTTTTCATTGACGATTGGTCAATGAAAGAGGATGGCCACAGGTTGAATATTCAGGTAGCGAAAGATGCAAAAACGAAAATATCAGGAGATTATTCAGCATGAGGAAGGGGAAGCATTTATACATGGAAGGCCTTGTATATATCATGTACATTAGGTATCGATTTTCTTAAGCTTCTAAGGTTGAAACTTCATCTGATAGATTGCAGTACCTATCGATTGATTCGGAATCCGATCTACCTAGGAGCTTGATTCAGCGCTAGTAAGTCCCAAATTTCCTCGATGCAGGCCTGCAATGATCCTTCATCTTCCATTTTCTTTCTTCCGAGTCTCTCTTGAAATGGCATCGCCGAGAAACAAAGCATGGTCGACATCACCAATTCCGCAACCCATTCCATCGTATGGACCTTCACGGGATCCCGGTTGAACGGGGTCATAGAGCCGGACAAGCGGGGACCGATGTGGGAAGTAAAGATCACTAGCACGAGTGGCATGATAGAGCATATCTGGGTATCGTTGAACCAGAGCTCGGAGAGTATCCTCTTTCGGGACTTCAGGGTACCAGATACAGTAAGGTGTCTCTTCAGGCCGCGAGATGGTTGGTATGACACCGCTCATGATATCCCGGGCATTCAAGGCGCGCGTGAACTCTGGAGTGACTCCACGGAGCTCCTGGGCAAAGCCATAATGATGTCGTATGCCGCGAATAATGCACAGTCGATGAATCTGCTCGCCCAGAGTCTGGAATTCGAGATCCGTGAATTGCATCTTTGCAACCCTCTGCATCGTATTTGGTAATCGCCAGTCTCTTTTCCATCGGCAGCTGGTCCGGGTTGGCCATGGTGTCAATGAGATACCCAGGTGGGGATCAGATAACCTGAAAGGATTGCATGGGCACTAAGGTAGGGGAAGTGAGTAAGGTAGGTAAATCCACGAGCGAGATACCTGGTGGACTCAGTCGGAGTAATAATACAAGTAATAAAACATACTTGAATAGTGTTTGGCCCCAGCGGGGTCACCAAGCTTCTAATGATTCTGATCTACAGAACCAAGGGGTAGACCTCTGCATAGCCCATCAATGGGCCCAGACCCCCGGCCCAAAGCCCAACCCACAGCCCATTAATGGGGGCCTATTAAAGCCTATCAAAAGCCCATTTCTGTGCACAAATATAGTCTTGGCATATATAAAGTAGATGATTAATGACTGTATTTTACGTAGATGCCAACCTATATCTTCAGTATTATTATATTATTATAGTAAGAAGTAGGAATTAAGTGGATTTTATACTGATTTTAGCATTATGATGCTAGGTTTCATACAAAATAACCCTAAAAAGATCCAATTTGACCATAAATTCGTACCTAGAAGGAATTACTAAGTATTAGTATAAAGAGATATATATTATCTATAGAGGATTGATATAACTTTCTATAGTCAATTGTAGTAATACTTATGGTACCTCTACTTACTTACTATATAAACCCCTAATAAGAATAAGTACCTCTTATAAAAAAGTAAAGCTTTATAAAAATCAATTTTGATTCTTATTTATATCTTCTAACCTACCTTTCTCTCTCTTAATATCTACTTCTTCTCTCCTTTATACTTCGTCTATCCTTCGCCTTTACCGCCTTTACTACCGTTGCCGCTACCGGATGGGCCTATAGCCGGCCGATGGGCTCGAAAGGTGGGCCCAAAGCCCAACCTATTAGTGGGTTGGGTTGGGTTGGGCTATGGGCTTTATGGGCTATGCAGAGGTCTACCAAGGGGCCTTCACCGGCAGGGTTTTCGGTTTTTTTTTCAGCTTCTGTTTTTTTCAGGGATCCAGGATTCAAGCACCAGAATCTCAAAGCAGCGTTTAATTTGCATTTGGTGACTTTCAACTTTCATACCACTCGTGGAGGACAATGTATTGACCGTCCCCAACCTTAGCAGGCCGCTCTGAGCCTCACCACCGAATTTATCTGCCGAGTGTCACCGCCCGGGTTTTGCTCTAAACAACAACATAAGGATCAGTGTTTCTTTTATGTATGTCGACTTCTTAGCACTAGTATCTATAGAAATGACAGAGTAAGTCTGCTACATAGGTTAATTCAAGTCATGAAATTTAGAATAAGAGTATGCCCTGGCTCAATGTCAATGTCACTATATAAGCTTTTCAATATGAATACTAGACCTCCGCAAAGCCCTTAAATGGGCCCGGACCCTAGGCCCACGGCCCAACCCACGGTGGGCTATAGGCTCAACCTTTAAAGCCCAACCTAACCCACAGCCCACCGTGGGTTAGGCCGTGGGCCCCTATAAAAACCTATATAGGCGCTAACAAAGTAGACTCTATAATCGTTGTATTACGACCTTCCAATCGTATAAAGTTCAAATTTTAAATTTAGAATAAAGGGAATATAATAAGTACGTATATCAATTTTAAACAAAATCCGATCGGTAAGGGTCGAGATATAACCGAAAAGGTGAATGTTGATATTTTGATATTAGATATATATCCAGGTTTTATGAAGCACTACTACTTTCTAGTAAACCTCTACAAATTGAAAAATGTCCTAATTAACGCGTTTTATCGTATCTTTTTACGTGACATAGAGAGAATACTAATTACTAATTCTTAATTATTAAATTTAATTAAATATTACCTTAGGGATTAGGGTAAGAAACGGACGTAAAATAGAGGTAATTTAATTAATCCTAAAAGGGGGGTTCAACTTACCTTAGTATCTAAATTCTTAGCATATTTATATTGTTTGGGGCCTATTTGGGCCCCTATTAACCCAGAGTGGGCTCGAGGTATAAGCCCGTAGCCCATCGATGGGCCTAAGGACCGGGCCCAAAACCCAACCTATTTGCGGGTTGGATTGGGCTGGGCTTTGGGCTTTATGGGCTCTGCGGAGGTCTAATGAATACCCAAAAATCTCATCTAGCATGTTGCTAGCAGCCCACTGTGGATGACACCTGGGTGACTGCTGATATGGTTTCCGATACGCATGATCATGACCAAGCTTTTGCCGTTGGTCTCGTTGAATATGAAGGGTGGCACGGGTATATTCTCCGAACCAACTGGGGTTATGGGCATACGACTCCGGGGTCGGAGATTCTTCGGGGCTTTAGAATGAGGTTGGGATCCCGTGAACTTACCAGTTGCCCCAATAGGGGGTTAATTGATTGCAAATGTGCAAATGAAAGTATGGCTCTTTGGGGAGCGTACAGCTTGGTGCGGGGGCTATAGTGAATAGAGTTTGGTGATCCATGGATACATGTAGGTTGTATCAAGATTGAGTTGGAAGATAAAAAAGGATAAAGACAGTCTGCTTTGTATGTAGATACAGGTAAAGCAGGAAGGGGACCTTTTTTTCGTTTAGTTCTGTTGGAACCAACGGGCTAGATATATACGTGTTGTGTTATATATAATGTGTAGAAAGATCGAGAATATCCAATGTGCTATATGATATTTACGTCACTCAGCATTTAGTTACTTTGTACATGATCGTTGTTGGTGATTCCAATTATATAACTTCACTTGATCATTGCGGCAGTTGGTAGTGCTTCAAGATGGGTGGCTGTTTTTATGTGCGTCATGCGATTCAGCCGGAAATACCATTTAGATATCATGATTGGTGTAGATTAGGTATAAAAATGTCATTTCCGCAAAGGTATTCGATGATGTCTTATTTTGCCGTGCTTGATCAATTGCATGTAATACACATATGTATTCTGTAGAAGGTAATATGTCTGTTGTGTACTATCCAAACCGAAGCTGAGGGTGAAGAATGCACGTGCAAGGATTATGCAGACTAAATCGCCAAGACTTTGAATACAGTAGTCACACAAATCAACAAGTTTTGCTCTAAGAATATGAAACGAAATCCTAGAACATCAATTCGAGAAGGCTCCAATATTGTAAGTGAATTAGATCGATATCAACACGGCTATCCTCGGAGATGCCAAAAGTGGGCCTCAAGATAGCCAGTATGAAGCCCCTCAGAGACTGCTCATAGTAAAGTGCAGGGCCAGTTCGACTGGAATTTGGGGAATTGATTTTATGGGATGTCAAAATGTCAAAGAGATCAATCCCTTTTCAACATCCAACAAATGTACAACGTGCAATATAGAAATGTCCTTGGTGGCGAATAGAGATGAGGCGATATCCCCGGGAACCGTTCGGCGTTGAAAACTTTTTTTTTGGGCCAAAGACGGTTCCGAGGGGCATTCTAAGGTTCTCCGGGGCAAACCGCTTTTTATAAAGAACAATGGGATTTCTCTTTTGTGGACATATTTTAAAAAGGTAGGTTCATTCTCCTTGCAGTCTTCGTTTTCCCCTTAAGATCATCGGTTGATCGCCTCGTGACTCATAGAACCTCTCCTCCCGCATATTTAAGGAAAGAACCTTGATTAACCACAACTATATCATCATGGGTTCTGTCGCTCCCAACATTGCCGAGCTGGATGGCTCCAAATTCAACATCACTCGCTCAACCAACCTGCGCGATGTGCCTCTGCCCGGCTCCCCAGAGGAGCTGAGCCACTCCCACTGCACTGACCACATGGTCACCGTGAAATGGACCGCGGACAAGGGCTGGGAGACCCCGGAGGTCAAGCCCTACCAGAACCTCAGCATCCCGCCCACAGCTTCGGTCCTGCACTATGCTACCGAATGTTTCGAGGGAATGAAGGTGTACCGCGGATACGATGGCAAGCTGCGCCTGTTCCGCCCCGATTGCAACGGCGAGCGTCTGAACTCCAGCTCGCAGCGCTCCTCGCTGCCCGGATTTAAGCCCGACGAGGTGAAGAAGCTTGTCGCCAAGCTGCTGCAGATTGACGGTCCTCGTACGTTCCAATCCTTACTTCCCTAGGCGGCTACTTGCCCACAAGATAAATGAGAGCTATTTACTAATAATTACCTGTAGGCTGGCTCCCCAACCCCGGTTCGTTCCTCTACATCCGTCCCACCGTTATCGGCAATGGTCCCCACCTGGGCGTCCAAGTGCCCAAGGAAGCCCTCCTCTTCATTATTGCCGTCCCCTGGCCTGACTTCACTAAAATGAAGAAGGACCCCGAAGCCGAGCCCCGCAAGGGCCTTAGACTCTACGCCTCTTCCCCAGATAGCATCCGCGCCTGGCCCGGCGGCTTCGGCTATGCCAAGCTCGGTGCCAACTACGGTCCTTCCCTGCAGGCTCACGGCAAGGCCCAGGCTCTTGGCTTCGATCAGATTCTGTGGTTGTTCGGACAAGACCGTCAGGTCACTGAGGCTGGCGCCAGTAACTTTTTCATTATCTGGCACAACACCGAGGGCAAGCTGGAGCTTGTTACTGCTCCTCTTGATAACCAACTCATTCTGCCCGGTGTTACCCGTCGCAGTGTTCTGGAGCTTGTGCGCGAGCGTTTGTCGCAGAACTTTGTTGGAAAGCTTGCGCCGCTTGAGGCTGTCGAGCGCACTTTGACTATTGATGATATTGAGAAGGCTTCCAAGGAGGGCCGTATTGTTGAGTCCTTCGTTTCTGGCACTGCTGTAAGTTGACGAAATTGTCTGTTTCTTTGTCGGCGTTGATGTGCTAACATCCCACCCTTTAGTACTTCATTACCCCTGTTGCCATGATCCGCAACGAGGACACTGATATCAACACCTTGCCTGTGAACGGCGAGCCTGCTGGGTATGCCGCGCAGATCAAGTCGTGGCTCGAGGCCATTATGTTCGGTAAGGTTGAGCACGACTGGGCTTACGTCATCGAGAATGAGGGACAATAGATAGATAAAAAGATTCATAGATGGTTTTAGATTTAGATTCGCAAGCAGTTTGGTTTTCGGTTAATGCCTCTTAGGCGGGTTTATGATTAGCATTGTGGTCGACATTTTGTATGCTAGAATTGGATTGTATATAGATTTTAGACCGCACTCGTAGAATATCGGCTTGTTTCATTCAATGTTTGTTATCTTGGCTATGATTAGAATTGTAGAGTGTAACAAGACGCCGGTGAATGCACCTAGAGTTGGATATCAAAAAGAAACCATCAATTACTTTACATATCTCATAAGTGCGCAGAAATAGAACAGAATTCAAATGTCCTAATCCCGCATCTCACATATCAACAATCACTGGGGCATACTCTCCAGTCTCCTCGTCTTCGTCATTCCCATCCCAGTCCATTTCGACCTGTTCACCGTCCTCCAATTGGAGCATACCATGGCGAACGACAGCCCCACGACGAAGCTCCCAGTCATACTCTGCTTTCACCCACTCTTCAAGCTTGTCAAGCTCCAATTTGACTTCGGATGCACTATCGCCAACGAGGTCATCGACCGACTGACGCAGCTTCATGAGTAGATCGCGCAAGAAAGCCCCGCCCTCATCACCATCAATCTCAAACAGTCCACCATCAACATCATCACATCGCTGCAGCTGCAACGACAGTATCCTAAGGCTTTCACTCATAAACGACTCTCTATCCAGGACTGCACTCCGGGACGTAAGAATCAGTTCAAGAAGCCGCTTCCACTGCTGCAAACACGAATAGTTCATCATAGTTAGCACCATGAGGAACGTAAACTGCAGTTCCCCAAGCAACTGATTCCCTCCGGAAGCCTCCCCAGCATACCGATCGATCAAGTCTCCCAGGGCCCAAGACCGATCCTTCGCAGCTTCAGTCCGTTCGCGCCCGACAGCACCTTCTCTCCACGTCCTCTTTAAATCAACCGGGATGAAACCGAATTCGCGTTCCGCTTCCTCGCTTATTTCCGGCTCGGCTGGGGAATCGACGCCGGGGATATGATCCGCGTCCCGGTTGGCCGTTGAAGCAGACGATAAAACCCATCGCGGATGACCGTCTACATCGACCTCCGGATTCCCAATAACGCGCGATAGAAGGGTTGTTGAAATACGGTCGGTTAGTCCAGACCAATCCATCCGTCCGTTCTCTTCAGTTTGCGCATCATCTTCGGTTTGAATGCGAGCTTCGATTTGGGGTTTGGGTTTGTCCTCCTCGTTCTTTTCGCCGGTTTCTGATTCTGTCACGGGTTTGACAAGCATCGAGGGCGCAATCCGGCTGCGATATTTGAATAACCCGCCACTCTGCCACACAGAACCTAGATTCGCCTTGTAGCGCATGCTCTCCTGGCAAGCGGAGTCGCTTTCACTGTCCAGCGCTACTAGGGACTCTGTATTCGCACTCCATTTCCAGATGTAGATCTCTGGGACCGGTGCGTTCTGGGTTCCGTTTTTATTTCGGCCTTGCGCGACGAGCGCTGTGCCGCTGCACCCTTTCCCTGCGGTGGTGATGTCACCGATGTAGAACCATGCGCCGCTGCGTAGGGAGAGGGTCTCTGTTGCGCCGGTGTAGAGGAAGTGCCATCCTGGGGAAAGGTCACGGATTCCGTGGAAGTTGGGAGTTGACGTGAAGGTTATGAGGTCGATGCCGACGAGGGTTTTTGGTGGAAGGTCCGGGAGGAGGATTGTTGGAGTTGGCTGGTGGGTGGACATTGCGCCCGTTTTGTGCGAACTGGAGGTTTTGGGTTGGGGATTGCGCCTAAGTTGGAGCTTTGAGGAGGATGAAAACTTGGAAGTGAGAGCTCTCGGATAAATGCTGTCCTACCTTTTATTAACGGAGGCGAATTTTTTTTGTGTTCTTGGATTTGGAGGATCTTCTCTATATATCCTTCAGAACATCGTTGCCAACCTGTACTAATTTATTAGATTACGAGAACAGATGTAATAACAATAACAGAATCAACACATCTCTATATCACAACAACTACGAACTGCCTCCCTCCTATGTCCCCATGGGAGCTCCCCGCCGGGCCTCGGAAATCCATATGTACTATATAGCTACCATCATTTTACAATCGAGCTCAGCAGGAGCTTACAATAATCCAAAATATATAGGTCAAGTTGTTGATTTAGCACTACCTAATCCAACATCAAAGCCCGAGAGTTGATTTTCAGCGTATGAAAAAAATTGAAGACCAGGCGATCAAGGCCGTTCCTCGCGTTTATTCCATCCACAGATGCAGGAGAAGCCCGCAAATAGCCTCCAATCCAGCAATGCAATGACTTGCAAGGGGAAGGGAAAGACCAAGCCGCAAACGCTCACAGACGGCGACCACGGCGACCACCCTTGCGACGAGTAGAGTCGGAGGGGGTGGGGGTGACGTCCTCAATGCGACCGATGCGCATGCCGGAGCGGGCAAGGGCACGGAGAGCGGACTGGGCACCGGGACCGGGGGTCTTGGTGCCGTTACCACCGGTGGCACGGATCTTGATGTGGAGGGCGTTGATGCCGAGCTCCTTGCAGCGGACAGCGACGTCCTGAGCGGCCAACATGGCGGCGTAAGGGGAGGACTCGTCACGATCAGCCTTGACCTTCATACCACCGGTAACACGGCAGATGGTTTCACGACCGCTGTAATCAATTGTCAGTCAACATTATCCTTTGTTACGTTCGCCTCGACTCCGCTCGATTTCAACTCCAATTGGGTGGTCCGAATGCGCGGAATTGCGGATAGAGGGCGACTCACGAAAGATCGGTAACGTGAACGAAGGTATCGTTGAAGGAGGCGAAGATGCGGGCAACACCGAAAACGAGCTTGCCTGTGTACAGAGTCAGATCTCATGTTTTTTCCAACTTCTTCGGCTCGAATCTTGTTCAAACATACCATCACCGGCGAGGGGGCCGAGGGAGACGTTCTCCTTAGCGGCGGCGGGGGTCTTGGTCTTGGGGGCCATTGCGACTGTTGTTGGTGGTTAGTGTGGATGGAATACAGAAAGGAAGGAAAAGTCGGATCTGATCCCACCTGGATGTTGAAGAAAAAAGTGGGTGTGTGCCCTAGGGAGAATTACGCACTGTGATTGGTTCTTACGTCTCAAGCGAGCCGGACGCCTCAGGCTTCGATGCCATATATTTATACGCGGATTCTAGTCGGCCCGGTGGGCGGTGAAGACGTTAGCTCGGCGCAGTATTTAAATTTTTCGTTCGCCCAACTTATTTCCCTTTCAACATTGCAATTGATCTTCCCAGACTTGAGGAGCCTTCCAGCTTGGACCTTGGACCTTGGACAGTTCTAAATAACCTCTAGTGGTTATCAGTGTTATTGGCTTTTAAAGGTCACACCTCATTCCTTCGAAGTTCTAGGCGCGCTTTGTCACGATGGGTCGCACCAAAGAAGATGCCTCGATTGGCATCATTGGTATGGGCGATATGGGCAAAATGTATGCCCAGCGCCTGAGCGATGCAGGATGGAGGTAACTGGCCCCTTTTCGACAACACAACTCCAATATGCTTCAAATGGTAAGCGATCTCTCCTCCTTTGTCCGCCCATCCCCTCGAATGATGACATGAGTGCATTTGGCTCGAGTATGGTTTGGCTGGCGCTGTTACACCATTCTGGTTGATGGCTAACCAGCTGGCTGTCGGTGATGTTAAACCCACGCTACCTTAATTTTTTTGTCTGATCCCGTTCAATCTCACTTCATACAACTTCACATTGCTGTTTGAAAAACATACACTAACAAGTGAAAAGATTTTACAGATTCGCATCATGCCTACAAATAATTATTTTAGATCTGACATAACTAACTTTGCATTTTGATATCAAGGATAAACGCGTGTGATAGACCTGAGAATTTTGAATCTTTAAAACAAGAGTTCGCTTCTCAAGTACGTCTCCTGGCTGGGATTATGCCACTCAAGCTCAAGAAGCTCATTGTATATATAGAAAGGAGTCACCATATTCCCCAATGGACATCTTGTCTCAAGAATTAGCGATTACATTCTGTACAGTGTAGAGGCTGGAGTCATCGACAAGGTCGTGGCGCAGTACGGATTATGTATGTGTCGAACCGGAGCCGCTAGTCTGCCTCTTATCCACGTTCATTCTGACTCCGATTCAAGCAACCAAGGTCGGTGCGATCGTCGGTGGCCAAACGTCGTGCAAAGCTCCAGAGCTCGCCGCATTCGAAAAACACCTGCCCTCGGATGTAGAGATCGTATCTTGCCATTCGCTACACGGCCCCAAAGTGAATCCGCAAGGCCAACCTCTGGTATGGCCAACCTCGAGCTTGGATTCTATACTTTCATCGGACATACATTAGTAACACAGTGATCTAGGTCCTCATCCAACACAGAGCCTCGGACGAAAGCCTCAAATTCGTTGAAAGCATCCTCTCCTCGTTCGGCTCCAAACATGTCCATCTCACCGGCGAGATGCACGACCGTATCACCGCCGATACACAGGCTGTCACCCATGCTGCATTCCTGAGCATGGGAACCGCGTGGCATGCCAACACTCAGTTCCCCTGGGAGCATGGACGATGGGTGGGCGGTATCGAGAATGTTAAGATCAATATCACCTTGCGCATCTACTCGAACAAATGGCACGTCTATGCCGGGCTCGCCATCCTCAACCCAGCGGCGAAGCAGCAAATTCGCCAGTACGCCGAGTCGGTCACTGACTTGTACAAACTGATGATTGGAGGGCAGAGGGAGGAGCTCAAGCGTCGAGTGAAGGCTGCAGGTGCGTCAGTTTTCAGACCTGGCTCTGAAGGGCAAGATCTGTTACTGAAGGACGATGTACTGGACCGGTTCTCTCTGTCTAATCGGCCGCGTGAGAAGGCACCGCCGAACAGCCATCTCAGTCTGCTTGCTATTGTTGACTGCTGGTCGAAACTCGGCATTGTCCCTTACGACCATATGATCTGTTCCACGCCGGTATGTACCCAGTCATGGTGAGGATATTGCCAGACCACGGTTATATTAATATTGGGCAGCTTTTCCGTCTGTGGCTAGGCGTGACCGAATACTTGTTCCGCAACCAGGATCTCCTCGATGAGGCACTGGATACTGCAATTGATGACAGCACCTTCCGCTCGGATGATTTGGAATTCACGTTTGCTGCAAGGGTATGTTTTGGACAATATCTCCGGCGCCTGTCCGAGCTATGCAAGACACGCTAGTTCATGCTAACATGACGCTTTCATCAGGCATGGTCCGACTGCGTTTCTTTTGGTGACTTTGAGTCCTACCGTCACCGGTTTGAGCGCATTGCGGAGTACTTCGCACCGCGTTTCCCTGAAGCTGCCACGCTTGGCAATGAGATGATGAAGACCATCCTGGAGAAGACCACCTCCAATAACCAATGAACTGATAACGGTATAAGATATCCACATGTATGTATTTCGGTGAGTACATTTTATCAGTACGAGCAAGACTGGGAAGAACGGGAGGATACCAAGTAGATTTATCAGAATGTGTGATCTCGGGATTTATCGTAAATTAAATGAAAACCAATTGATATGACCACATCTTCAATAAGAAAAGAGAATCCCTTCAGTAGAAACACCCCGTTCTTCACTGGTGTTGGTGGCTCCAGGGCTGAAGCGATAAGATTCATTAGTCAGCAGTTTGTTTCTCCAGATCTGGTCCAGTCAAGCATCTCGTAGTGGGACAACAAGAGCAGTTTCACGATCACTGCTGGGTTCGAGCTAAAATTCCGATCACCCTTCTGACATATGGACATGGCAACTATCTCCCTTTGAACATCAGGCGACCTGTGACTGCGCCCCTCCTTTACGCTTCCCCATACTACCCTTGCTCCGCTCCGCTCGACCCTCCCACCAAAACAAGCGACCTCAATGCAGCAATCCGATACTCAGAACACCTGAGATACATGATAGCGAGCCAGCAAGGCTAGATGGAGCTCTATGGCTTCCGGGCACAACTCAGCATACTCCGCGTCGACTCAGCATCGTGCACTGGGTGATGGACGCTCCTCGCTTAGTCAAGATGGCGGCTCCGCCGATGGGAGCTGGCAGGATGGTATATCACGAATTGGGAGGAACAGGCGATCCGAGTCTGGAGGGAGCAGCAACATGGGCGGGCGGGGAGGATCATTTGTGCCCTCATTAGCTCCCTCGTTGGCACCCTCCATCGGTGGGCCAGGTAGCTTCAGCGCGGAGCTCAAAAGCACGACTTCACGCAGTGTCACACCCCGGGCGGACGGCCAATACAACAGACGTGCCAGCAGATCGATCGACGAGGAGGATTTTCACACAACCGAGCAGCGACAGGCTTTCCTCCGAGATAGGATCGCGAAGGAAATGAAGATCAAGAGCGGAACCGAGAATATGCTGGAGGCACTGCTAGCGAAACCACCCAAGCAAACCAAAGAGCAGCGTCTCAAGGTTGAGTCAGAATTGAGCTCATCGAACCGCAAGCTGGCCGAATTGCAGCATGAGCTGGAAGAAGAAATATTACGTGCGCAGGCGCCGATTTCGACTCCTCCACGCAGCAGTCGCCTCTCGAGCCTTTTCCGAGCTAGCCCCATGCGCTCACCATCTCGAAACAAGGACGCTATCGGCTCGGTCAACGGCGATGGGGAAGAAAATGGTGACGGTGACGTGGAGTCGCCAACCTATGTCCTCTCGGAAACGCTGCAGGCACTGGAGATAGAGGGAATGTCCCCTGATTTCTATGTCGAGCGTGCCAACAGCTTAGTTGAATTGTTCAAACGACATCCAACATTGAAGTATGACCTTGCATGGCCTGTTTTTGGGCTACGGGTTCAGGTCATGCTTTTGAGTGACAGCAAAGAGGTGGTAGCTGCGGGTTATCGATTAACACGCTATGCCATCGCTGATCGCAAATCCCTACAAATCATCAGAACGCTCCATACCGATGAGCTCGTGATATTGTCCCTGGTAAAAGAAACCAAGGCAAGTATTGAAAGGGAACAGGCATTGAAGTTCGTGAGAGGCTTCCTGGATGTTAAAGACGGTGTCCGAGAGATATCACGCGCCGTTGTGCGGACCATCGTTGCTGTTGCTGAACACCATGAAGATCGTCTTCGGAACATTTCAATTATGACCCTTGCCGAAATGTTGGTTAAAGATCCCGAACTGGTTGCTTCTGCCGGCGGATTCGCTGCTCTGCATGATGCGCTCGCAGAAGGGACGTTCGGCGCCTCAGAGTCTCTGATATCAAGTTTTCTACACGTTGTGGACACCCCCCGTAGTCGAAAGTTTCTCCAAGGATCTGAACTTGAAGCCGTCCTTACGCCTTTCACGGATTCATTATCCGACACACTACGCAATGGGCGATTAAAGTCTGCAGCACGGGCAATTTCTGCGATGCTAAAGACTTGGCCCGGGCTGGTTATTCTTGCGAGACATGACTCGCAACCGTTACGTTCTCTCCTTGATTCGCTTCATTACAATGACCCCATAGCCAGAGACCTGATCATGGAGCTATTATTTGACGCTCTGCGAATAAAGCCTCCCTCCTGGTCGTCATCCTTCCTTGCGGGCAGACGACTCACAACTTATGGCAGAGTCTCGAATCTTCGCTCTGATCTTGAAACATCAAGAGCCAGCCGCGCTTTCAACGACACTAATAGCAACAGATTCGATCTGACTGCTCATTTTTCTACTCTCATCTTGGCTGGCTTGGTCGAGGCAGGGCTCCCAAAGGTATGCATTTTTTTTTCTAGGTCTGGTTTAGTGAAGAGCTGACCAAATGCAGGTTCTCTCCGATGTCATTGAGGACGAAGCGGATCTATCTCTCAGACGTAAAGCAACTCTGCTATTAACGGAGGTTCTCAAGCTCGCCCATCATTCCTTACCCCAAGCCGTCAGCGCAAAACTTCAAGTCCTTCCACACCTAATCCCACCCGCCGTTGACTTTGAAACTGAGAATCACGACCTTTCAACCGCAACTATCTTCCAAATCGATAGCATCAATCGGACATTGGCACGTTCTGGTGGATATCCCAGTGGGCAGGGCCGATACAACATGGAGACTGATTTATCGGGTTCTCTGCTTCCTATTGAGCAGGGGAAAGACAAGATGAGCCCCTCCATGGACGAGACCCAGTTCCGCAATGCCATTCTGGAAACTCATGTTCTGAACACCGTCAACTTCAATAAGTGGAAGTGGGACATTATTCACCGCCTAGTGGAGGGTCCTCTCACAAACCCAAAAAGAATGGACGAGGCAATCAAGGGCTCCAAGTTCATGAAGCGGCTCATTGGGTTTTACCGGCCTTTCAAATATCGCTTCGCTCTAGTCCCAAACACTAAGGCAAACCAACGATATGTCCGAACCGGCTGTGTTCTCATGCGCACTCTCGTTACAACCCCCGAGGGCACTAAGTATTTGGCCGAGAACAAATTCCTTCGGCAGGTTGCAGAATGCCTGGCCCAGCTGGATCGCATGAGTGGGCTAACGTCTGCATCCCCGCTTTTCTCCAAAGACCAGATGGCCAATACTCTAAGTGGAGGCTACTTTGCGATGCTAGGATCACTGAGTGGCGATGCCAACGGGCTGCTCATGATGGAACGATGGCACATGCTCAACATGTTTTACCACATCATTGAGCTGCGAGATCGAAATGACCTCATTCAGACATTGTTAGGGAACATGGATTATAGCCGCGAAAGTCATCTCCGGGTTATGCTTTCAAAGGCCCTGACAATTGGTTCCAAGGAAATCCGGATCTTTGCAACGAGACTCCTGCGCAAATACGCAGTTGGAGATGTAACACTTTCGCCTCACGTGGCGATCGGCAATGCAGAATGGGTGGTCAAACTTCTCGTCACCCAATTGTACGATCCCGAGGTCACGGTCTGTCAGGTTGCCGTGAAAATCCTAGAAGAGGCATGCAATCAAAGGGATTATCTCGAGTTCGTGGTCAAATGTCGACCTTCCCTCGATCATCTGGGTGAAATTGGTGCACCGCTACTTCTCCGGTTCCTATCAACTTCCGTGGGATATCACTATCTTGATGGCCTCGATTATATCACACAAGAGATGGACGACTGGTTCCTTGGTCGCAACGATAGCTATGTTGGACTTGTTGAGGCTGCTCTTTCCCGAGCTTATGTCGAGCAACCGCGGCGTGGCAGCCTTGTCCCCGAGGATTTGGTAGACCTACAGGATATTGGGTTGGTACCACCGCATTTCTACAGAGAACTTGCACGAACTGCGGAAGGTTGTAAGCTGCTGGAGCAGTCAGGTCACTTCAATGAGTTTGCTTGGACGATTCGTGATTTCAGGCTGGATGAAGAAGACAATGAAATGCTTCTCAAGGCTAAAGGATGTCTCTGGGCTGTCGGTAATGTCGGCTCAATGGAGCTTGGCGCACCATTCTTGGATGCTGAGATCATCCAACGCATCGTGCAGATAGCAACAAGTGCAGGAGTTCTCACTATGCGAGGCACTGCTTTCTTCGTTTTGGGTTTGATATCTCGCAGTCGACACGGACTTCAAGTCCTGCGGGGTTTGGGCTGGGATTCCGGTGTTGACCAAAAGGGAGATTCACTAGGACTTTGCCTCCCTACAGATTTCCGAAAACTATTCTTGGTGAGTATCATCCGTCACTTCGCTTCCGTCCCATCTTGCTCATCCATCTAGATATCCTTCCCTGGCTGTGATTATAGATCGAAGCGAACTCCTAAGGAGAAACTCAAGGAAGCCACCACCGATTCCGATCCGGCCAATCAACGGATCTTGAAGTTGATCGTTGATATGGGCAACACCGTGCTCTCCAAACGAGCCGCTTCTGATCTCCACATGTAAGACCCCCGGTTTTCACTCTGCGACTTCTCACATTTGCTCACAATTCTCAATCACAGCCTAAAGTCCAAACAACCCGAGCGCTTCCACCAAGCCCATCTCTTCCGCAAGACCCTCTGTATCCTGGAGAGTCATCACTACAGACTCCCAGCTCGACGTTTCGCCTTGGACTTATTCGACAAGAGCGTCATGCGACGAATCGTCCTCGATGAAGATTCCGACTCTGAATCGGACTCGTCAACTACTTCCCAGTCAGAATAAACCCCCTGATCATTTTCATTTACCTTTCCTGTCCTGCCAATATACCCCGCAAGACGGCTGATTGGGTGCTTGGCTTTTTGTATTCTGAGCGACGATTTATGCATGTTCAATCTATGACCTCCAAAAATACTAGACCTCAAACTTCTTGACCGGCGTAGATCAGTGAAATTTTGACCTCGGTCCAGAAAACTAGTGTTATCCTGGTCTCCCTTGTATTTTCTTTGGCCCTGATGTTAGTGAGTCTCGTTCTTCTACTTAGGTATGTTAGGTACTGGGCTTGACCCGTCGGACTATATGATCTCTTTGGAAAGACAGTTAGCTATGTCGTTGCCGGGATTATCGCAGTCTCTAGGGATTTACTGAAGTCGGTTAAATATCCCTCGAGCTCTAGATGAGAATGAAGAGAATGAAGAGTAGGGAGCGATGATGTGGAATCAAATCCTTGTATTAACAATAGTCTAACGTCACAATCTGCTCCTATCAAAAGGCCCAGCGCTCTAGCCATCTTTCAACAAGCGGACCATCGAGAGGCTGCAGATTGGCCAAACTACTACTCTTGAGCACCGACCGATCCGTAGCAAGGTGTACCTTGCGGTTCTCCAACTGCTTCATATCCTCATAGAGTTCGGCCAGCTTGATTCCTGGGTATTTAGCGATATTTTCGGAGATAGGGTCGATCTGCTTCAATGCACTAAGCCAGTGGTTGTATTCGACTACCTCCATGGCACATCCCTGCCTTTGATAAAAGTCAGAGACGGTGCGCACCAGGTCATTCCATTGGACAATCTGCGGATTGACAATATTAAAGCAGTCGAATAATTGATTCTTGGTCAAGTCGTCTTCAAGTCTGGACAACGTGAGTTCTATCAAAGATTGAGCTGTGACATCCACAGGGACCCAGTCGACTGCGTCGTGGCCTTCAAGAGCGGCTGGAATCTTTTGCAGAGGCTTGGATGTCTCAATCAAGGTCGGGAGCCATTCTTTGATTTTTCGGTAGTGATTCTCCAGATGTGTATACAATGTGTAGACCATTACTTACCAGCTTGATTCCTAGCTCCAGTCCCATCCACGGGACCTCCTAACTGCTCCAGATGGAGAACTATTGCTCTCAACCCAGATTTTCTCGCTGCCGGACATAGAATAGAACTGGCGACGTGCTTGGATTCCCCATATCCCTATCCCAGAGGAAGGCAGACATCGTCCTCGAATTGAAAGTGACAAGGGGAAGGGAGATTGCACACATATAAATCTAGACAATACAGCCCCTAAAGGTCTACTACTACATGAGACCACCTTCGGATATTTTTATCTGAAGAACAACTATCGGGTCGGCGGCCGTGAAGTCAGCCTGAAAGGTCCGAGTTGGTGCGGCCGTTTGAGAAAGAACATGACATAACCCGACGAATTCCCCGTCGGCTCGCACATTACTGGCTGCTCGGGGAGATCCCCGAGGCTAACTCGACTTTGCCTAGTTGCATTTGGCGATCATGGCCCTGATAGGACGATGTGTATCTAGTGGACCTGGGAGGAAGTAGATAAATCGATCTCGGATTTCCTATCTGAACGAATTCACCTATCCTCTCTGTATCTCATATTCATCCAGCAAGCTCATTGATCAACAAAGACCTTCAAAATGCCGATCACTAGTGATATCACCCTTGAGACCTCCAAGTTCCAACCAGAGAATGTCACGGAGGCAACAAAGCAAGCCGCAGGTCTCCTGGAAAGCCTCACCAGCAAAGGGCCCCGATGGTGGGAGGTAGGCATCACAAAATATCGTGAAATGCGTGAACTTGGTCAGACCCCACTGCCCATGCCCGTCCACCTCCCGGGGGCTACTGATAGCACTGTTCCTTCACGCGAGGCTGGTCGTGAGATCCCTATCCGTGTTTACAAGCCCGATAATGGCCAGCCTAGCAAAGGTGTATTTCTGCACTTCCATGGTGGCGGTTTTGTGCTGGCAACGCACAAGGAGTGAGAATTAACCCCCACTATACGAGGATCTCCCGGCACTGGTTGCCGCCTCCTCGGTTGGATCGTTGCCCCCGGCTCTCTTCCTTTGTGGGACTGAGGATCCATTGCTTGATGAGACCATCTTGACGAGTTCTAAATGGAGCATTGCCGGTGGGGAGGCAATCGTCAAGATCTACCCTGGTGCGACTCATGGCTTCACTGCGTTTGCTGGTCTGCCAGTCGCTGAAGAGGCACGTGCGGTGAGCCTGGAGTTTATGCAGGAGAAATTGAGTAACTTGGTCTGATCAACGAATGTTCCAAATGTTTACGAGAGGAAGACTACCACTAGGCAACCATCTAGCGGTGAAATAATTAAAATCTTGGTCTGATTTGTATCATTCATATCATTGGTAGTTATCTAAATGTAATATACTACCTACATGCAGGTAATATATCTCCTATTCCCTCCGTTGGGCTAGTCTCTGTGAGTGTTGTTTATTCTGTGTAGAAAAGATATAAGCCTCGAGATCTCCCGAGAATATGAAATGCATTGGGACTGAATGTGTGATCAATGAATCCACCATTCGCAGTCCGCTGATTTCACGCATGAAATCGTCTGTGTTGGGCTGATGAAGGTCAACTAATTGGAGGCAGTTTTGCCGGTTTCTGGTTCCCGAGGTTGAATACGGCAGAACACGGGTTTGGAATATCATCCAAAGTGCGAAGTACGTTGGTCGTATAAGAGGTCTTGAGATCGAACCCCATTGATTGGACCCCCCCTATTTTACCATTACGAATTACACCGACCGTAAACCCTTGCCCTTATTCCTCTTTCGGCTTTAATGCCATGATCTAACGCTGCGCCAATTTGTAAGTAGTTAAAAACCGCACCAAACATCCTTTCATCCAGCCACTTATCAACGCCTATCAGAGCTTAAAGCGTCGCCCCCAGTCGAGAGAAGTAGGGTGTGTTAATTTGTTTTGCAGACCCCTGGGTTGAGGTCACCCTATATAAGTACTAGGTGTGCTCAGCGGCCCCCAACTCAGCATCTAGCTTATCGTGCATTTATATGACACATAGCCACTCATGGATCCCCGCCCCCTCACCAATACCTTTACTCTTGAACCCAGCTTGCAACTATTCACAAATCTGTCGCACCTTAAACGCACCACCTGCGACCTCTGCCGAGAGCGCAAAGTACGCTGTGACAGGGGTAAACCCCAGTGCGGTCGGTGCCAAAGGTTAGGTCAAACATGTGCATATCCATCAGTTAGTGGCGAGGTGACACGCATCAACTCCGAGCTCAGAAGTCTGCAATCACGACTGCGTATGTATCCTGAGTATAGTATACCGAGGTGCTACTGACTCTCCATAGGCCTGGCAGAGTCCAAGTTGCATAAGCAGGATACAGCCTTTCCTGTTGAACTGGCTGGTCCTGCTTCGAATTCTAGAAGCAACAACAGCCCTCCCCAGACGCTACCGTTAACCACCGAGACCACGATGGGAGATCTCGTTATACCACTTGATCTGGACTCTTGGTAAGAGTGTACAACCCCCCTTTTTTTTGGAAACAGGGCGGAACGGATACTGACATGGTTGATATGTTATAGGGACCATGCCATGGACTTTGATCCCCTAGATGGTTTACTTGACCGAGATGTCTCTACAGAAAGCAGTAACCAATGCGAAACTCTAAATTCTAGTGCACCTCAACCTATCTCGCCAGGCTATGGTGACTCGGCCCAATGGCCCTTAGAGCCGCTTCATACGGCCCAGCGGACTATGCAGCAGAATGCGCATCCCGACCTGAGAAACGAGGTTGGCGAGATATCACCAACAACTACAGAACAACTGTATGTCTTTTGTCCCAGGTCACCATTAGTATCGCTTTTCTCACGATTTCCAGATTTCATAACTACATCGACATTGTGCATAGACAAATGCCCCTCATTGACACCACGGAGTTCCTTTATGAGACCGCATACGCCACATTACATCAGCATCAGGCATTGAAATATGCCGTCGCCAAAGTGCACAAACATTAATTCTGATTGCTCGCTACGAATTCACGCGGACAGACACCACAAGAGCTATCATTACTCTGGCCCGACTCATGCAACTCATTCGTTTGCTTGAACTTGATAACATCGATCGAAGAAAGACACAGGGTGATCCACCCCAGAATCTACAGAAGATCCACGAGTGTCGAAATACGTTATGGATTGCATATGCCTTTTACTGTCACGCATCAACCATATTCTCGCGATGTGAGCCGATTGATATAGAGACTGTATGTTATTGACCCCAAGCGTCTAGACTCCCTATAGAACCTGGCTGACAATGCGTATAGAACCACACCGCACTCCCCTGCGACTGGACAGAGGGTGACGGGGATAACCCTCAGATATTCCTCTCAGAAGCAGCCACACACCCTAAGAGCAACAAACTCTCCTCTCTAGCCATATTCGTCCTCGCTATGCGACTAGCCGCTTTCACTGAGCAACACCACCGGATGACCGAGGAAAATGTTTCGGGCAGAGGCGCCCCGGACTATAATTTCTGTCTCGCCCACGAACGTAGCGAGAACATGATCGGCATGATACTTTCCGCTTTATCCGGGTGTTCTTTACAAACAGGACCCGACAAGGAGCTGCGCGTGCTAGCGCTAGTCGTCACCTTTGGCGCACGCATCACCCTTTACAAGGCAGCCATTGTGAACGTGAAAAAGGCATCCTTCCTGGGGCCCGTGGTGGGGGAAAGTGAGAAAACGGGTGTCTTGGCAGCAAACGCCATGTGTGACGTACTGCTGCAGGCAGAGGTATTGAATCCTGCTCATGTGCGTACCTCATAATTTTCTACAGGCTCCGGGTCTCCTGTCAGTACTGATAGCTTCTAGGTCCCCGTGTATCGGGCCATGAGTGTAATTATCATGCGCCCTCTGGCACTAGCGGCCAAATTTCAGCTGTCTGTTGTGCGGAATTCCGCACAGGGCAGTGGGATGGGCATGTATTATATGAACCGAGAGATTCGGCATTCAATGGAAGTGATATGTGGTGCCATGGAGGCCTTCCAGGAAGGTATGTGTCAATACGATGCTGGCATCCGGGAGTGTCGGGAGCACATGGAACGTGGGCAGTTTGGGAACCGATTTTCCACCGATTTTGGGACTAAACGGGTATCAGGGTAGCGAGATATGAGACTTTAGAATGGAAGAGCGCTAGACAAGAGTATCACTGGACATAGACATTGTGTGGGTAAGTGTTTTTTAGGGGAGCGTAATGAGTCTGAAACGATTTGGATTATATCTTAGGTCACATCTTTTGCCTTCTTTCAAGCTTGTTGGCTAATGACTGTTAGAAATATGGGGTATACGCACCCTCACCTGTTAGTAAAAATACGCGTTTATACATATAGTTTGCCTGGAGTCGTATAAATAGTAATTCTGTGGGCTATCTATCGGCCTCCGTAGTATTCTACTCAGCGGATATACTCCTTCCCGGCAAATATGTAGACTCAGACAATGTGAGATCCTGACCTGGGGCAAAAAGTGTAAAGAAAAGGACCAAAATAAATTATAGCGATACAAGCTCCAAGGTCACATACCGCTGAGGCTTGCCCCCTCACTTGTTCAGCAGCTGCGTTTTCCCAGAACCCTCGTTCTGACCCACAATCTCATCTCTCCAAGCGAGAGTGGAAGGGTTCAGATATTCCATAGGTAAAACGTTGAACTTTGGAGCGCCAGCGCACAAGTCGGCGAGTTTATCAGCATACACTCTGCCTGGCCGGTGAGAGGGAAGATGATCCTCATGATGAAATGATTGAGCGGCTCATCACATGATTGAATCCTGGTTAGAAAGTGGGAGACGTCAAATGCACGCTGCATACGTGGCGTTCGCGATTCCTAATAGCGCTTAAACATAGCGGATATGGCTGATCGGGAGGGTCGGCCCTCTGGGCCACTTTTAACGAGACTGACCACTTCATTCAACAAGCCGCGCTGCTATCCAAGGTGCAATCTACACCGAGGGCAAAATTTGGGGTCACCTGTTGCATACTATATTAGCCCAAGTTCTAGTATTGTCTGCATTGTTGCGGCTATGACCTTGTGGTGCCCTATCTGGCCCATCGGACCTCGCTCCATTCACGCGGGGTGTACACTTCGCTGCGACATCAGTCCAGTCTTCGTTCAATATTGACAAGGCCGTACTTAGCAAGATCATGCGTGAGGCTGTTGCATCCATTGACAACGCAATGGAGCCAGCGCGTGTCTACAGCACAAACGATGTGAATTCCGCCATAAGTATCACCGCTGACAGATTCAACATGACATACAACTACGATAGTGATATCGTCGAGGTTGCACCATTCACCCCCAAGCTGCGCTTTTCCTCTGAGGACATCTACCTACTGGCTGGCTGCCTCGGCGGTGTCGGCCGCAGTCTCATATCGTGGATGATGGAGCGCGGCGCCCGCCACTTCGCCTTCATCTTGCGCTCCGGAGACGACAAACCAGAAGCCGCGCAGCTGACATCCTCTTTCTGTGTAGTGGGTGCACATCCCAGATCTTCCGTGGCAATGTCTCCAATGCCTCCGACGTAAAAAACGTCATTGAGGCAGTCATATCCGGGCCCAATGGCGAACGTATCCGCGGCGTTGTCCAATTGTTGGCCAACCAAGTCAGTCCAACTATGCCACCGCCAACAGCTTCTTGGACAACCTTGCCTGCCAGCGTAACCATATGGGTCTTGCCACAACCTCTGTGACGTTGCCTATGGTTCTAGCCGTTGGAGTTGTGGCGGAGAACGACGCATTGGGGGACAAGATCACGCGTCGCGGTATGTATGGAATCGACGAGCGCGATTTGCTCCGCACGTTTGAAGCAACCATGTCATTACGGCCCCAGCCGGATTTGAAGTATCAAGAGGCTAGTATCCTGCTGGGTCTGGCCCCAGGCCGGTTGGCCGGGGCGTGGACGGCCGCCCGCGAGAATACCGACCTGGACTGGGCCGAGGATGGCCGATTCATTGGGCTGAAGGCGCCAGTCGAGGCGGCGTCTGGTGGAAAGAACGGCGACTACGCAAAGGATGGCGGCGAGGGGGCTGTCGCGGCACAGGAGATTGCGGTTGCGCAGAGTGATGGTGTTGATGCCGCAGTGGATGTGGTCGCTGCGCGCCTCATACAAAGGTGTGCAGGTATCTTGATGATGTCAGTGGAGGACTTTGTGCTCGAGGGGTCTAGCGTTGGAGGCTATGGGTTAGACAGTATGATTGGTGCTGGGCTTGCATCTGGTTGTTCAAGACGTTTGGTCTCAATATCCCCTTCCAGGAGTTGGTGTCGACATCTGTCACGTTCAAGCGGTTGTGACTATTGGCCTTGGAGACCTTAGAGGTGAATGTGGCTTAGGGTTGTCTAGCTCGCATGATGACTCTGGATCTTAGATGTATAAGTGGAAAGTTTGTTTAAGAGATAATACCTCGACGCATTGCCTGAAAGTCTCGCCTTAGATGTTGCTGTGGGAAAAATACAGCCTATTTTACCACTAGACCCTAACAAAAACCTCGGTTCCTTTTTAGGGCCTAAGGGGGCCATATCCCAGTCTGACAGTTGCCCGCGATGTACATAACTTGTAATACGAGTATTTGATTCATGGATACACCTGATACACCAATACATGTACATATCGCACCAATTCTCTACATTTTACGTCCCGATATTATACCACTCCATTTAATCCGTATGATAATATTTTACTAGTTAAATATAAAGAATATATGATTGTGTATCTTGTAAAGTAGAGTAAATATTTGATCTTTCAAGTTGTACGGAGCTGGTAATCAGCAAAGAAAGCCAGCGGTGAGCCAGGCGGTCAGAATTTACTGCTCGAAAATCCGAGATGGCGCACTGGCGGGGACTGCCACTTCGCAATCACATCCGGGAATCCTAACTTATATGCCTTCACCCATCTGCTTCAGATGGGCGGCCGTATAGGGTCTGTGAAATCTCGATCTGGGTGTACAACTTGCAAGTAGGTTTCCGCTGCCGTTTTTAGAGTTAAGCTCTAACCGCCGACCAGAATCCGAAGAGTCAAATGTGGCGAGGAGAAGCCGAATTGCCTTCGCTGCTCTAGCACAGGACGGAAATGCGAATATGAGGGCAGAGGGGAAACTCTCTGGGCTCCCTCCGTGCCATTTGCTCTTACACTCGGACACACGCTGTCATTGTTTCAAAATGCAGGTCAGCGAGAATGTCGCGCATTTGAATATTACTTCCAGCATGTATCCCAACATCTGGCAGGTGGAATGAATATAGATTTCTGGACAGGGGTCGTTCCGCAGATCTGCCGCAGTGAGCCCGCTGTGTGGAATGCAGTCATTGCAATTAGCGCATTATACGAAAATCCGAAGCAGTGCATGGACTTTCATTTTCTGAGGGATCGCCGAAACAAGGCACATTTGCTTAATCATGCTCAGCAGGATGCATTGACATGGTACTCGCGATCAATCTCTACTGTTTCGTCGCAGATCCAACGAGACAGCGCAGATCCGTACATTGCACTCATCAGTTGCGCGCTATTTATCTGCGTGGAAACAATCCAAGGACATATGGAGCAGGCCTTAGAGCTCTATCGACAGGGTATCACGTTGATACTTGAACTCCGTGCCCAGATCGGTCACGGAGTAGTATCTATCAGTAAAGGTGTTCTGTTGGAACGCAGCATTGTTCCCTTATTCCTACGACTCGGCGCAAGTTCCCTGACCATTTCAGGGACTCAGTTTCCTATTGAACTTTTTGCCTTTATAGAAACAGATATGAGCGCTGATTTCGCATCTGTCTATTCTGCAAGATCAATTATGTCCGTCCTAGCTACGGAAGTTATCCTCTTTGAGCGCGAGGCGAACTTACACCTCAGGGAAGTTGGTGCCGAAGCCGCTGTAAGCCCAGCAATGATCGCGAAAAAAGAAGCGCTCCGAGTCCGCCTCGTTGAATGGCATCGAGCATACACCAATCTTTGCCAAAGAAACAGATCTGTACTCACTCTCCCCGTATACCCAGAGCCTATCCTACTCACATATCATGCTACTGCTTTGATTTGTGTGACAGGATGCTTAAAGCAACAAGAAACCGTTTTCGATGCCCATTTTGCAGACTTTGCTACTATCGTCGCGCAGTCTAGGTTGATTCTCGATACCTCAGCAGGCCCAAATGGTGTCCAACCACCATTCACCTTTGAGATGAGTGTGGGTGTCCCTCTGGCCATGACTGTGTTGAGGTGTCGTGACCCAACCTTGCGGCGAAGGGCTTTGGACCTATTACGACTATCGCCTCCGATACAAGGATTTTTCAAATGCGCCCCCGTGGCTCTTTTGTCAGAAATGTTGATGAAGCTGGAAGAGGGCTATGGCCTTGCCGTGAGGGAGAACACATCGGCACCTTCTCAAAAGGTTGAAGCAACCACGTCACAAGCAGCACTCATCCCTGAAGAGGCTCGTATCCATGAATATGGTATCTTCAGACCAAATGAATGGCAACCTCTGTGGGTCACCGAGGAAGATCTCACAGCGTTTTCACTTAGCCCGAACCAACTATATTTGGGATTTTCAAGAAATCAATACGACAAGGAAAGCAATACTTGGCGGCAGATTTATCAGTGCATACCGTTGGAGGCCAATTTTTGAATGATATTTTACGTCTTTCATGTGTTATCCATGGATGTTCATGTGTGTTCTTAACTACGTATCTTCTTTTTGGTATACATCTATACATCCCTATGTACTCAACAGATCTGGACGTCGGCAGCCCAGAGGCCCGGTTCCAGCGTCTCAGGTTCGGGCCTTTCCGAGGTCTACCTTGGAAAGCTCGCCCCTTAAAAGAGCGTGGCACGTCACTGGAAATTCACACGCCTATATATGGCTCGGTGAAGGGTTAGAGGAGAACAAAGATAGCAATCAGAACAGGCTAGATTTTCCTGATCATGACCTGTGTATAGATCTTCTAGAGGGTTAGCCGAATAAAAAGCCGATATGTCATAGTAACGGCAAAGGTGTGTTCTAATCAGCATAACAACGTTCTGGAACACCCCTGATATTTCCACTAGTAGGTGCATCGATGCAAAGTGCCTCCGAAATCCACACTAGCCCACTGTTCGCCGACGGGCAGATGAGATGCCCCGCCTTCCTGATAAGGACGCCGAAGGCAGTTCTAGATTGGAACCCCCCCCCCCCCCTCTTAAGAGCCTGCAGATACCCCGAAATGTATCGAGTTTTATTTAACCCAAATTCTTTCAGTCTGGTCTATCTTCAGTATGCCCGAACAATCAAATCTTGATCTAGATCTCATTGTGCTGAACTGTACTTTGGCCACTGCTGAAGACGTTGTGCAATGTGACATTGGCGTTAAAGATGAGAAGATTCACTCAATTGTCCCCAAAGGATCGCTGGCTGAATCAAAGGCCAAAAAGATAATTGATGCCAAAGGAGCTCTAGTTACGGTTGGTTTTTTTCACCTCTATCACAAGTGAATTCATGGCCATATGCTGACATTCTTTTTAGCCAGGAGGGATTGACGCCCATGTCCATCTTCAGGAGCCACCGCTCTTTGGACTCGGCTCCACTGCAGATACCTTCGAGTCCGGTTAGTTTGCCAATTCCTAGAGTTGGCGATTAACTTGGTCATTGAATTGACACGTCCTAGGCACCCGCGCCGCGATTGCAGGAGGTACAACAACAACCGTAGCTTTTGCACCTCAACGGAAGGACGAAGACAGTGTTCTCGCTACTCTAGCTTGCGCTCACGAACGTGCCAAAGACCAATGTTACAGCGACTACTCGTTCCATCTGATCATCTCCAACCCTTGCACAAAGACACTTGCGGAATTTCCAGCCTTCCGAGAGATGGGCATCTCGTCCGTCAAGATATACATGACCTACGAAGATTTGCGCCTGAATGATGAGCAGTTCCTAGATGTCTTGTTTCAATCCCGTCTACACAAGGTTACAACTCTGGTGCATGCCGAGAATGACTCTGTGATTGCATGGATGACCAAGAAACTGCATGAGCGCCAGCTATACGCACCCAAGTACCATACAGTCTCTCACCCCGCCGTTGCCGAGATCGAGGCCAGTTATCGTGCAATCTGTCTTTCTGAGTTTATTGATACTCCCATCCTAATCGTACACGTCTCTAATCCTCGAGCGGTCGAGAATATTCGGCAAGCCCAGGCAAAGGGGCTTCCAATTTACGCCGAGACCTGTCCTCAATATCTGTTTCTCAGCAAGGAAAACCTGGATTTGCCCGGGCTCGAAGGGGCAAAGTGTGTTTGTAGTCCACCGCTGCGCAACAAATCCGACCACGAGGCTATTTGGGCCGGTCTCGAGGACGGAACATTTACCATTCTCTCGTCCGACCACAGCCCATTCAACTTCAATGACTCGACATCTGGCAAAGGATCGAGCGTGACCGCAGAACACCCCGATGGACAGTTTCACCTAGTTCCCAATGGATTCTCTGGTGTCGAGACCCGAATGCCATTGGTTCTTTCAGCTAATCGACTCAAGATACAACGATACGTGGAGCTGACTTCCACCAATCCGGCTAAGTTGTATGGAATGTACCCAAGAAAAGGCGCTCTTATCCCGGAGGTCAGTGATGCAGACTTTGTCATCTGGTATCCCGATGGGAGTCTTGACATGACTGTCACCAACGACATCCTTCATCATGACGTCGACTACACTCCATTTGAGGGACACACGGTAAAGCAGTGGCCGCGCTACACTGTGCTTCGTGGAAAAGTGGTTTGGGACCGGGAGGATGGAGGAGTCATAGGCACTCGAGGCTTTGGTCAATTTTTGCATCGCACAGAGAGTATGTTGGCTGGCAGTAGGAGTGAAGGGTCATGGGATGTGGAGACTGCGTGGGTTTAATATATAAACTTCGACGTCTGTAACAGCACGGGAAATATTCTATATAGTTTCCCATGTGAGGGCGTGCCTGCGTTATGTCCATAAATGGGAATTAGTCCTTGAATGCTATCAGCAAATCTTTCTGGTTTTCAAGTCTCCTCTCTCGACTGCACAGCATCACATGGCTGGTCGGATTGTAGGGCGAGCTCAGTACGCCAAAGGGTGGTATCGACCAACGCCTACATGCTATCAAAGCGAGTCTCTTTTCAGTAGCTTGCGGAGGAACCCAAGAATCCGCCTAGCCCCATTCATGTGTTCTTCTCTGACTTTCCCTTCCAGCCTCTCCCACGCCATATAGAACATCTAAGCGTCATCACACTCTAGATACAAACCTTTCGGCTGCTTGTGGAGCACACATGGCAATTCGTGTAGCTCAGACAGACGGCAGACCGAAAGCAACGGGGGTGGCTGCAGTAGTTATGTAGACAGTTAGGGTAACAAGCGAGATCCTCGTTCATCTTCGTAGCATCTGCCCCGTCGAGAGATCCAGGTCCTCCATCCTCAGATCCAGAGTTGTCACCGACAACATTGGCATCGATGCTGGCAAAAGCAGCATCCAGCTCCGTGCATAGGTCGTCGGCAGTTATCGCAACGACCTCTTCGTCCATATCCTTGAGGTAGTACCCTCCATTCTCGGCGTGGAGAATTGTACTCGGATACACCTTGACTAGATCGTTGAGGAATTGTCTGTTGTGGACGATAATGACGTCGCTCGGGGGCGTGGTGTGGTACCTGGTAAGACCTCCAACCATAGCGGTAAAGAAGCATAGAAAGTACACAAGGGAAGCGAAGATGGATTGCATACCGCAGTCGTGAGGGGTATTTTAAGGGTCTCTATAGGCGCCTTGGTCATCTATCTTTTGGTCCCGAGGGCTGTGGGTGTATTCTTCTGAGATTTTGCAGTACAGATCTTCTATGAACATACCTTGTAACAAGCTAAAGAGAACAACTGAAGTAGGCGTTCCTATCGATTATCAATACTTCCAGCTATAACGGTCAGTGATACACATGGCGAAGTAGGGATGCCTGGGGAAGATGGCTTACCTTCGATATTTCCAGTAGAATACCAAGGGAAAAGTGATGTGAGATACAGAGAAAAATATATGGAGAGGTCCTTCATATAGTTATCTAATTCAACTAGCTAGTCTAGCTATCTGTCGAATAGGCAGCAAAAGCTTCAATCATAGGTGAACTTACCCCGCTATTCTAGCCTGGCATAACCATCTCGAGTCGAACAATGGGGCCAAACCCTCAAACGAGGTGACTAAATCCTCCCACAAAAGGCTTCTTGGCGGGGATCTGAATGATCCGAGACGGATCATGGTTCTTTTGTCACTTTTGTCACTTTTGTGGTAAAATGTGTGCGATTTTCCGAGACCAATTCCATCTATTTCCGGGAGATCCGTCGGGGGCCGTCGGGAGATGCCGTTGCGCTAGGGTCAGCTAAGCTCGTCCTAGTAAGTAGCCTTTAGGGAGAACGTCATTATCAGATTTAGGGCTAACAGCCATATTTTAATACTATTCTAGAAACAAGCCTAGGAGCACTTCACCTAAGTCCTCTTACGGGAAATTGTAAAGGAGGAACGGGTTAGACGCGCCTGAAACCCTAAAAGGTTAAGAGGAGAAGTTGGGTTTCCACTCCAAGCTTATGATCTGAAAGATATTTGTATTATTGGTTGTGCTCGACTACAGTATTGGCCAAATAAAGTCCCCGATCCCGATTTATTTCTCTCTTCTTCCCTTTCCCCCTCCGTATGCTTTGTATAGGAATTTGGACATAACTCGCTATCGCATTGTATAGCGACTACTAGGGACTTTGGTCCTATTGGCCTTTAGGATCCCGCCTCTTAGTATCTCCGTCTTCATCAAGTAATCTTCCCTGGTTATAAATAGAAAAGTACTTTTACTCGCCCTTTTCTGCCATCTGCCTACCTACGAGGAGGGGGAAGATATCTAAAACGCCTACAAGACATGATAAGGATGCATGAGTAACCGAGTATCCTTGTCTATGTATTCTCTAATTGATCCACCTGATGAGAGTTCCTATAGATCTATATTAAGTTGGTCATTAATATAACAGTAGAATAGTTGGCCGCTTTTTAAAGCTTGTGAATTGCTAGTGACATCGGTCCATCTACAGCTGTTCCTCCATTGCCAGCGTATTCTAGGATGCCAGTCGATCAAGGTTCCCTTTAGCCATGTTGTTCTTTCACACCGTAACCACATCCTTAGACAGCTTAATGACACTCGTCGATCTAGCCGTCGGCTTAATAAGTGTTAGCCTCTTGGTCACGTAATCTCCGTTGTTTGTTTGCCTGAAGGATTCTCCTTCCTCCCCTCTCCCTTTGCTCTATCCTACAATTATCTGTTAGCTTACAATACTATTGGTTAACTGCGGTCCTTCCTGCTGTCGACCTTCCATTGAGAGGCTATGAGCCTTCTTTCTATATACTGAGACTCTATTAGACCATTGTGTGAATTGTTGATTGATGGAATTGATGGAATTGACAGTGATACTGTTTGGTGGATATCCTCCAGGGCTGTAGCGACGGTATTTACGGGTTTAAGACCTGCATTTTCGGTGTGAAATAACCCCAATTTGACGACCTTAGATCCTCGGTTGACCCTCCCCTTTGACGATTTGACTGCTTGGCCTGCTCGCGGTTGTCCGCTTCAAGCAACCCCGACCCTGGATATAAACTCGCCCGCGAGTATACGCCAGAAGTGAAGTAAGTGCACCATAATTGGTTAAGAGCGGATAAGGTCACTTCATTAACAATCTTTAGTTTTTCATCGCCTGGGTTGTAGTTGCCGAGGTTTGGCTCTGGATCACTTTGCTGACAGTGGGATTATTTCCTCTGTGGGATGGACGCCATCGGATTGTTCTCATCGCGCGGGGACTTGTTCATGGTTGCCTGGAAAATTCATAATGGAAAATTTAACGGGCAAAACGTCGAACTGTGTCTATTTCTCTGTCTTCTATATTTATACCAACTCCTTTGCCAGAACCATTTCACCGGTGCAAAATGGGGTTGTCCACCGTAAGTATCACAATGACCGTAGAGATGGACACCCCACCTAGCTCCTTTAACAATGTCTTCAATGTCTCCCACATAGTAGACCTTATAGCACATCGTCCATTTAACGCTAACTAAGTTCGGACTAGCACCCTGTCCTTACGGTTACGGAGTTATCTGTGCAAATCTTTTGGGACATTCCCTTCCAAAAAAAAACTTTAATGTTCTAGATGTGAAGCTAGAGATATATAGTTATATATTTTCGCACTACGTTTGTAAAACCAGACGCTTATATTCAATCACGTGACGTACGAGAGCCAGAGCCTGCATCTAGGTATCAACGTTGCCACTTGCTAAACGAGGGTCATGTACTGAGTACTTTGATGTACACCAGTAATAGTATTGTACATAATGTACTGCGACACCGGATCTCGGGATCCATGGATGGGCACTGATCCGATTATCTAAAGTTGACCCGCACCTGCCCGGCACCTGCAGATAGCGGCTCCTCAACACCGAGCTTCATTATTATTTACCCTTCTGTGTTCCCCCCCCTTCATTTACCACATTTCCTACCTGTGGACTACTGTGTAATGGAGGATGCAGCCGAGTCCATGTCCCCGACAAATCTGACCGACGCTGACCCCACCCCGACCGTAACCGTAATGGAGAGCTCGGATGTCTCAACCTCGGATATGTCAAGCTCGGAAGAGCATACACCTAGCGATACAGCAGATCTGCCTCATCTCGTCATCCAGTTGATCCAATGCCAGCATTGTTCCCGCCCTTTACGAACTCCGCTCCGCCTACCATGCGGGAATTCGGTCTGTCGGGAATGTTTACCCGCCTCTCGACCGCGGATAGGTATCACCTACCCCGTGGCTGAAGGGAGGGACCAGGAATTTACATGCTTTTGGAAAGGAAACAAGACGTGTGTTGGAGATCATTGTGTGGGAGATTGTGGCGCTGATGTGTTGCTTGGGAAGCTGGCTGGTCTTTTTGGAGAAATACTGGGGTCAGAGGCAAACAACGTGTCTCGGCATTGGCCCGAAGATGACGGACCGTTACTGCGGTGGAAAACTGATGTGCAGAATCAGGATGGAAGTTCGCAGTTGCAGTGGCATGGATGGCTACAGGGAATCTATAACATGGCACTGGACGGCCAGTTCCCGTATGATGCATGCGAGGTCATCTATGGGGATTCTCCAACCCCAAGCGGAAGCACAGAAGTGCAGGATCTCATTCACTTCCAAACACTGCGAGACAGTCTCCGCGCCGAGTTAGACTGCCAGGTTTGTTATGCGCTCGTTCTAGATCCGATGACCACACCTTGTGGCCACACCTTCTGCCGAAATTGTGTCGCGCGAGTCTTAGACCATACCGATCTGTGCCCCATTTGTCGCCGAAAGATAGGCATGACGAGTGATCTACGGTCAGAGCCCATAAATCAGACCGTGGCGCGGCTGATCGACTACGTCTTCCCCGACCAGATCTCAGTCAGGCGGGAGACCAGCGCCCAGGATGAGACAGGCCCGGATTACGAGAAGAACTTACCACTTTTTGTATGCACACTATCATTCCCAACAATGCCGACTTTCCTACATGTCTTCGAGCCCAGGTACCGACTGATGATTCGTCGGGTTCTTGCAAATGGAAATGGAAAATTTGGCATGGTTATGTACAACCGACAAGGCCGGGTACTACCAGGCCAGCTGGGTGACGTGCCGTTCGTGCAATATGGAACGCTCCTGATGATCGAGCGATATGAGCTACTTCCGGATGGTCGCAGTCTTGTGGTGGCTACAGGCGTGTCGCGATTCAAGATCGTCGACTCAGGGATGCTGGATGGCTATTATGTTGCAAAAACAGAGCGCATAGATGATATCTCGCTCGCAGAGGAAGAGCGGCTCGAGTCGATGGAGACGTCAATAGACAGTGTCAATGCTCTGCCAGAAGCGCAGGAATCCAATCCCCCGTTAGACTCAATGCCAACTCAACAATTACTTCTCTCGGCAAGAGAGTTCATCAGCAATCAACGCAGATCTGGGGCTCCTTGGCTGCACCCGCGCGTCATGCTAGCATATGGACCTATCCCCACAGATGCAGCCCGCTTCCCATGGTGGTTTGCAAGCATTTTGCCCATCTCCGAAGAAGAGAAATATCCCATACTCGCCGCCACAAGTGTTCGAGAGAGACTGAAAATATCAGCAAAATGGGCGAGACAACTGGAGGCTCGAGACTGGTAGGTTGAATATCCATTCTCCCTGTTATATAGTATTCTAATATTTTCGAACAGGTCTACTCGCTCATCACTTTACTCTGTCTTATGACTATCCGTCCCTCTTCTCATCTTCTGCATCATCCCTCTATTATTGAGGCCCTTATCAGGACTATTCACCTCGATATCGCCGAATTTATTCACGTCATTGACACCATTTTCTTTCTCTGTCTCGGTGTCAATTAGGCGCTCCGGGGTTTCGTTTCCCAGTGTTAGCTCGCAAATACTCAACGAACATGGTCAAACTCGCGACATCGGCCTACAAGAGCAGAAACATGAAACCTATATCTCTCAGGGATTTGTCATTGGGGCCTTTCTGGTGATCTTCTTCGCCCAGGTTGGGGTTAATTTCCTGCATGCCGTTCGGACCGGGAGACGCAGACGACGCTTTCTAGAAATGCAGTTTCCACAACCCTTGCCCCAGCGGGATAGGGTGCAAGACCGTGGCTTGAATAGAGACCCTAGGCCCAACACAAATGCTACCGAAAGTGCACGAGATGATGCGGAGGGACGCCCCGTCACAGGAAACGCTCCTGACGTTGGATAGTGTGATCCGACATATCTGATACCCGAAATATACCCCAATTTGGTACTGCTACCCCACAAACAATATACCCTCTTTAACGAAGCTTTACGATATTCCATAGTTTCTGTTTTCCTTTTAGTTCATCATTGTCTGGCACTTCATCCAAAATTGTTATACATATAAGCCTTCATTGAGGCTCGGCATATTGATATCCATATCTTCTTGTACCCTAATATCTAGACTGCCTAAGAAGCCTTTTGTTAGGAACTCATGCTAGGGACCCGTATTACTACAACATAGGTCCGTGACTCACACAGCAACCGTCTATAATATCTCCGGAGTGACCACTGTTTCGACACTCTTCATCCCAGGGGGCATTGGCATGATGCCATTGGTCTGGGACGCGATCCTACTCCAGGAAATCGGTCAGCTGGTCGACTGGGCCACAACGTCAACACTCGAGGTGTCGTCGCAGGGCCCAATGTGAGTTTATTTCCCAGAAATGACGAGGATTCATGGGTCAATTGTGTGCCCGAGACATTATTGCTTTGGCTTTGATACAATGCATGGGTAACACCCATATCCCCGTCAACGTCTCCGGCCATAGCTAACTTCTCTTTGCCTGTGTCTTCCGGTAACTGGAAATCCAAGAAGTCCCACATATTAGGACTCAAACCATTACCATTAGACAGAATGGGCATTACGTCTAGATCAGGGAAGCCGTCCGCTACAGGCATGGAGTGAGTGAAATGAGACGTCGGTCCCTCGTCATTAAGCGACCGAGTTATACACTCGAGCGCTCCGCCTCCGTTGACGGGGAATCAAACAATAGCCCTAAGGCTAGCACAACAGCCGCGTTAAAGAGTTGTGTTTCGTTGGTAGATAATGAATGACAAACCGTGTAGCGGGCTTGGATCTGGGCTTGTATGTTGATAATGTCATGAGCTAGCTGCTGGTAGGATGTGTATCCCATAGGAGAGGAGAGAGTGGCGCGATATAGGCGGAGGAGTAGACTCCACAGCTGTTAATGCAATATGAATCGTTGAACTAGGGTGGCGGCTATAGGACCTATGACTGTGAGTCCGGCGGTGCTTCCTAATCTAAAGTAAGACGGCAGACTTGCCACATATTTTTTATATTTTTGATTGAGGTGCTAGCGCCACTAGGTAGCTTCGTTTGCGGCGGCCCTAAGATCAATTAATTCCCGCAAAATGCTGGATATTTCTAATACGTATGTCGTATATAATAGTATAGTAAACTCGGACCGAGGACGCTCGGGAATCTTGCTATATACCCTAAGTAGATCGTCGTTATTAAGGTGTAACGGCATCCGGGTATTAAATTGTAAGGGGTAGGTAGTATAGTAGCCGAGAGCTTGTCCGCGCGACTAGTCTCTTATGACTAGCGTCTACCTAGCGGTCCCGAATAATTAGTGCTTCCCCCTAAATAAATAATATCTGGGTATTCGGAGTGCCTACCAAATCCGAATCGCAACCTCGGTACGGATATAAGGTGCTTCAGAGGTCGCCAAGCTATGATCCAATAAAGGGGAGGCTTTTTACACGCTCCTTGGTTACGTCCCGCAGCCTCTGGAAGAAAGATAGCAAGACATGGGTGTCATCTCCTGGCTTTAGATCGGCTCAACAATCACTCCAGGCGGTGCGATGTCAAGAAGAGATTATCGAGTTCAAGTTGCACAGTTTGATCTACGTTTAGCTGTTTGAATAGTATAGATGCACCAAGGAGCAACTAGGCTTCACTAGGGAGGAGTCAAAGGAAGTAGCACGAATATTGTCTCTATGTTGATCACGACGAAGCTCAACGAATCAAGTTTTTATTGGCAGTAGCTGCACTCGAAGCTTCGAACAGGACAGAAATTTCCAATCAAAATTAGTTTCACCATTTTACTCTCTTAAAGTATTCCTCCAGCCTTGTCTCAAACCTCCACGTTATGTATACTAGCTGCGGCGCAGTGGGACACTATCGTTAGACTGGAGTATAGCGCGCTGCACCTCACCAAATGATGTGTTGATCTACAGTAGCACTGCGTGTGGACTAATTCGGTATGCCGAAGGTACCACACTTTTATTCCACCCTAGAGGACTTTTCTCATTTCTGATGGTAGCGCTTCGGTGATCGATACGGACGAACTGCAATCTAGAAGTCGCCAAGACTCGGGGAGGCTCATTGGACATTAAATGGCTGGAGAGATTGCATTAGAATATTAAAGAAACCGGTTCCGATGAACTGGGTATATTTAGCATATTGCTGTAAGTTCAGGCACGAGGGGCTGGGTTGGGCTGTCAGTAGCCCTATAGAGAGTGATTGGTCTAAACAAAGAAATGACCCCTTCCCCCGGGCAACTCGCCGAATGAAAAGGAGGCATGCGGCTGAAAGGTCAACGCTAGGGGATTGACCTTTTCACATTTGGCGTTACTTGTTTCGGTTGATTGGATTGCATCGCCCGCATCGAGGCTGGTGAGACTTGCAATTTGCTTTTTCAGTCCAAACGGTGCATGCATATACGAGCTGCAGGCTAAATGTGAGCTAAATACGAACAGGCAAATTCTGGTCTGGCCAGGCTGCTCTTGGCATCCTATTCGACTCTGACTGTGGGGTTGAAAGGCATCCTTTATATACTTGGTAACTCTCCCTGGATTTATGACTTCTAAGCGAAAACAGCCATCCAGCCTCACGATCATGGCGCCACGGGTTAATTTGCGGACAGGGTCAAGGGACTATGAGTATGGCCAACTACCCTATAACCCCACTACTTATGGCGAACGTATGTCCTAGCACTTCAACCTTTACTACCCCTCGAAATACACAACCACTAATGTTTGTGTAGGTGATGTTGCCAATTGCCAATTCCCTTCAATACCTAAAAAGGTGGACGAAACGTGGAAACGAATTATCATCTGGGGAATTATAGTGATTGCCATATTCCTAATGCTCTGCTTCATCGGAGTCGCGATAGCTTTCACTGTCATATTCGCTGTCAAATCCCCCAATTTTGGCGGCTACAGCTCCGACAGCCCAGGATACGCGCTCTACAAAAACACTCGATTCGAGGAGTGCTACAGTACAACAGCATCCATGACAAACTGTACCGCTGTACGTGTCCATCTAAATCATACTAGCGATGCTGGTATCAGCATTGCTGGCTTCAGAAACAATGGCGTCGGGTACCTCAACAGTGATAAAGCATTCGAGGACAGTAATGGTTCCGCGAGCTGGTGCGAAGCTATAAGTTGCTTTAATGACTACAAAGTCATTCCATCTACCCCACGCGATTCGGCCATTTGGCCGACTCAACTCACGGGTTGGGCCGCATCTGCTGGCTTTCTAGTAGGATCGCTGATTCAGCTTTTCCTACAGCAGAAAGCCTTATACAGCTCGAGGAATAAGCCCTGCAAAAGGCTCGGTGATGTACACTGGTACAGTTGGCCATTTATTGCTTACGATATGTATGCCTTCGTCTGGTGGTGGGTGTCATTTGGAAAACTGGCTGCCGCACCAGAGAGCGCTGCCACACCCTTCATAATTGGCTGGGTAATCCCCTGGAAATACGCCGGTCTGTTCAGATACCATCCATTTTCATGCGCCTTTCGACAAAACCGTCGTGCGAAAAATACTACGCGGTGCATCTTCTACGTCCTAGCTGTGATACAGTGGAGTGCTTCGTTGTACGTGATTCATGTCAATTTTCCCTTCAATCAGGCGACTCAGTGGGGTCTGCGTGCGCCGAATCCAAGCTACGATTGCGTGCAGTCTCAAATAGACGCTGCGCCCGGAGCTTCGACTTGCTCAGCGACACAGATTTGTTCTCGCAATTGGCTGTTTGTTGATCCTGGGTATCTATTCAACCATCAGCATTTAGACCCATTGATCGGTATCGGGTTAAATTTTTTTTTATTGACCTTCACGGCCGTTTCCCCTCTCTGGATGATGGCCACGGCTTGTTTTTCAAGAGACACGAGTCCGTTTTTATCACCTCGTAGCCTGCTACGATGGGCAGATCCAGGACCAGTTGCCATACTTTCCTTTCTCTCCCTTTGTGAGATTATTACTGGCGGTTTACTTGTTGAGGATATACTAAAGAGACTCAAGGATAGTCCTGAAGCGTCAGTCACCTTCGACTGGGAATGTCAGGCTATTCATGTTGCTTTGAGCCCCTGGAGGTATTACATGGATGTGGAATATGAACGGGGGTGGCGAATTGCTAAGTTGTGGTTCAATTCATGAGGTGGCTAGCTTTGTCCCCTGGGTTGTTTGTTATTTCATATTTTGCAAGATCTTTCTATTGCTGGTTCTGATTATTGGGCAAGACTAATTCAGTAGTCTATGTTGGAATCCTTACCGTTGTCAGTTTTCTATTGGGTAACCGAGATAGTAATTTGACTTCCAAACGACCAGTCAGTCTCTATGGGCTGGATATCCGAGAGTGATAGCTGAATTAGGTAGATATTATCATGAAATTTCAACCTTTGAAGATTTGCACTGAGCCACCGTAGTTTTTGCGTTAAAGACCTCGCGGCTCAAACCGCCACCCGACAGCCCGATAGTTGAGCCTATCATTTCCAAGGTTGGGCTTTGCTGGGAACCATGGAAAACTCCAGTATATCAACTTTCAAGATATGATTCTTCTGATAATTCTATGTGTGTAATTGTATAATTTGAATTAAAAAAATAATGTGTTGGGCAAAAATTATGGAATACCACCAGCATAAACCGTTAATATACGGTAAGAGCCAGCTATCTTTTTGTATTCTTGACGGGGTGTAAGAACATTGGAGGCAGGCAAAGCTGACGATATCAGTGGTGCCCGAGCCTAAAAAAAAGGCATACTTTCTACTGCAAAAGGATGAATGTATTAGCGACCGGACAAAATCTTGCTGTATCTTACGATGATTAGATGTCTCAAGACATGAGCCCAAGCAGTGAAATAAAATACCTCGAAGCATGGACTGCTATAGTTTGCTCTCTTGACAGAGGTAAGAGCATGAAAATTGTAAATGCAGGGACGAGAGCGATCGTAAAGAGGCTTCGCTCTAGGGAGATCAGCAATACATGTTGGCATCTCAGTACGAGGTAGTCAATAGCGCGCGTTTTTGAGATAAGGTGTGGTTTATAACTGGATTAGGAAGTGTCTGTCCTCATGGTCGTTGGTAGTGGTGCATTAATGACGCGGTAGAGCGATGAAAAGAACTGGAAAAGGAAAATAGTATGTACCATGGAGTCTAGGGTAAATGATTCTAGCACTGAACTGCATCCTTGGCTGGGGCCAACATATGGGGCAGCATATAGGCTGCAGGAGAGTCGATTTCCACGTGCCTCCTCGAAGCCCTGTCGGAATAGGTTATCAGCATCCCAAGGTGAGAAACTGCTCGCTGCAGGAAAGGTTTAGCTCATGAGTTACAATGAACGAGAAAGCCCCACCATTTGGCTGCTCTTTTTGCCAATTGTGTCCCTTGTCTCAGATTGAACAAACAAAATATGAAAACAAACCAAACTAAAGCGAAAGAGCACACGCTACTTAACTAGTATATACTAGTATCCACTAGAGTATGCTATGATCTTCTAGTAATGCTATCCTAGTGTCCATGTATTGAGCCTCTATATTTGCACATATGGCACCTAACAAGTTGAGTGTAGGTGGTTTCGATAGCCCTGGAGACTACCCGCGACTATCCGAGACTAACCAAGTTCACATTTCATATTAGCTAGCTCAGTATATATTAAAGGCGACAATTGCCCTGGATTCTACCTACAATCGCAATCACGACATGATCGACATCATTAATCTATTGAAAGAGGATACATCGATAGTGTTTGCATCTTGACAGATGTCGGTTCTTTGTCGCAGGTCCTTTTTTTTCGTTCTCACTAGGTTAAAATTGATATTTGATTCCATATGAAGTTGATAATTATCGGAGACTATTGAAGTCTGAAGCATGCCGAATAAAAAAATAAAATTATATATATAATAAAAACCATAAAGACAATACATTTGAAAGTGTCGCTATTCCCAGCTCCAGGGGTGGCTCCGGGTCTATACACGTATTACGTAATCTCGTGTGTTTGTCCGCGTCGTCTTCTTCGATTGAATCTTGAACAGCCAACTGCGCGCCATGAGCTCAATGAGATAGGAAAATAGATGTCGACCGGCCAAGCTTATACTTAAACCTATTTGATACTCATCAAGAGGCCAAACAGCACCAACGCAGCCATGACGTCGGTCTCATTATCGCTAGGACCGCCAGCCTTAGTCCGGCTCCACGACGCCTTAATATGCCTGTCCAAATTCAGCGAAACTGTCGCTATCGAAGCAGAGCCTGATATCGTAAGTTATTCCACCTTCGGGGCGAGCAGTTCACCGCAAAATTCTGGAACCGGCCAAATGAAATATTCGGGCTAACTGTACCCCAGCTCCGCCTCAGTGCGCTCAATTCCACCAAGACAGGATTCGCCTCCTTCGCGTTTGAGAAGGGAGTATTCTTTGAGGCATATTCTTTCAGCTCCAGCAGTGGTGGCAGGAGTGGCAATGTTTCACTCAACCGGTTCTTCTGCCAGATCTACATCAAGGTGAGTACATAGCCTTTTTCCCTCTTGAGTTTGTATCCTACTGGATGTTTACGGGTATCTTGCTTGTTTTGTGCTAATATCAAATACAGGCACTTCTTTCCATATTCCGCGGGAGAATTGAAAGAAATAAGGACACAGCTGTTGAGCGCTGTGACATAGAATTGCATGAAGATCTACAGCAAACCGAGTGTAGACTGACAGTGAAGATGATATGCGGACTAGGTAAGATATGCCCTTGCATAGATTTGTCTTCCCTAGCTTAGATCGTATATCTCTGACACTATATCTAGGCGTGATCAAGTCATACAAGCTGACCTACGAACCAGCGGCAATTCAGCATGCCGTCTTCGATAAATCCAAAGCTACCAGCATGTGGACCGCTGATCCACGGTTCCTCAAGCAGCTCATTGAGCACTTTAGCTTATCTGCCGAGCAGTTGGACATGTACTCCGATTCTGGAAGAGCGGTTTTCACAAGCTTTACAACAAAAATCACCGAAGGCAAGGGTATGTCGAATTCGCCTCCATCATGTTTCAAAGCTCTAGTTAACTAACACCAAAACAGAAGTGCTAAAACACCCAGTCCACACATCCGTAGCAGCAGACAAGCGAGACTTTCAAGACTACATGGTCGAAGAGAACATGCACGTCGCGATCAACCTGAAAGACTTCAAAGCTGTTGTTGCGCACGCCGAAACAGCAAACGCAACCGTAACAGCACGGTACACCCGTCCCTGCAAGCCTCTGCAACTGGAATACCGATTCGAAGGCGTCAACGCAGAATTCACAGTCATGACCCGCGGCCAGGCAGATATCGATGACGCCCCCTCGTCAACACGAGCAACAATCCCACGGCAAACGCCTGCGCCTATCCCAATCTCAGCGAGCAAACACCACGATACTCGCCCATCGGTGACACCAAGTACGCAGATGCCCCCGCCGCCACCACGCAGCAGATCGATCCGTCCTCTCAATGGATCATCTACGCAGGAGAATCTGAGTCATAAGGCTAGCGCAGATCGACCGGCGACGTCTGGGCTTTCAATGGATTTCGATAGCCTTTTTGTGCCTGCTGATGATGACCGGCAGTGGGATGAAATGAATGAAGAAGAGGAGCCGCAGGATATTCTTGGATGGGATGCGTCGGGAACACAGGTATGTGGTTTTTCTTTCTTCTTTTCTTTTTCTTTCTCGCTGGCGGGTATCATGTATGGCTAACCAAACGCATAGGACGCATTTGGGGCATCTATTCGTGATGCAGAGCCTTCCTTCCCGAAGCAGGATGGTTCTCACGCCGAAGACCCAGACGATGAAATGGGTATTCCGCCGACACAGCGTTTGTCTCAGGTATGTGAATTCCAGTTCTGGCGAGATTTTGATATGCGTATGCTGATAGTTGATAGGTTCGACAATATGGTCTTTTCGACTGAGAAAACACGCCCTGTCAATGGCAATGCAGTTGTCAGCAACTCTCGCTGCTCCCAGATCCCAAAGGCGATCATGTCACAATAATCCAGCTAGTCGCACACCCCGCTCCAACCCCAAGAACCCTCCCATCCACGCCCACAGCTTCGGAGAGCGAAATCACATTATATGTACCCGATACATTTCCCTGGGAATCTGTATCAGGCCCACAATTCCCATGCTCACCCCATCCAAACGCCGCAACTCGACCATCTCCCAGAAGAGCAATGGCATGCTCACTACCAACAGCTAGTTTAGTAGGAGTCGGAAGATCCGGCGGTGGAAGTTGGCCTCGGTCATTACGACCCCAAGCAACAATGGAACCACCGACCAAATCAGAATCTATGTCTGTCTGTGCATCCGATGTCGACGGTCCAACCTGTCCCAGCCTAGGCGCAGCATGGATATAAATCCCATGCCAACTAGCCGCAATACCAGTATAGCTATAGCAAATAGCACCTCTGCGCCCTCCACACTCCTCCTCTTGCTCATCCCTCTGTAAAGATAAACTCTCCGGAATACCCAATATACCCCACCGATTGCCCCCATCCCCAAGAACAACAAACCGTCCCCGTCCCGAAACAACCGTAAACTCCCTCCCACAAGCAACAGCCTCCGCGAAAAACGGCACACAAATACGAACAGGAGAATAAGCAATCCTAGCCCCTCTATTCTCTTCCCCGAGCTGACCCTTCCGCGCTCCGCCCCAGCCATACACGTCCCCATTCGAGAGCACGACAGCTGAATGCGACATCCCACTCGCCAGCGCCGTGATCCGTAACCCCGTTGGCGGGAAGGAGGGGATACAAGTCCCCGGGACGGGGGCGAGGGTATTTTGTCCCAGACCCAGTTCTCCTTTAGGAGACGAGCCAAGTACGAAAACTCGATCTTCTGTATCGGGATCGAGTCCATGGACGACGTCATGGCTGCTGCTTCGTGGCACAGAAGTTACAGCAATCGTGCCCTCCCACGTCGCGGATACGTGTTTGAACTTGGATACCTCAGTGCCGGAGACTGGGTCTGGGAGAATCATTCGACGAAAGCGCAGGATATTTCCATTGTTGTCGGACTCGGGTTCTTTTGGGGTTTTGGTAGCTCTGCGCGGCCCGCACCGTCCGTCTGTATTGCAACCGGCAGCGTAGATGGAACCGCTGGTTGTTAGGAGGAGGGTATGGTTTCCGCCTGCTACGGTGATGCTAATTTCAGATTCATCTGGGAGGTTGGTGTTTTGGATGGTGGTTATTTGGGATCCTTGTGATGGCTCTGGCTGCTCGAAGAGACATTGCGTTGGAGTGGACACGTCTTCTTCGTGGCCGATGCCTAGTTGGCCGGATCCGTTGGAGCCGAAAGCGAACAATCTCATGATTCTTTAGTTTCTTTTTCTTTTCTTTGGGATTTTATGTATGTTTGGGGTATCATCGAATTTAACCAAGTGTGCGCTTCATCCATATGTCCAAGTCCACCTGTGGATGGTATGATGTTAGTCATCATTTCTGCCTCAGGCAAGAGTTGCAAAATTCAGTCTCTTCCAGAGTTGTTAACTACGAGTCTAAATATGATGGATGGTCTTCAAAAATGATATGTGTAGCAATGTGTCTAAGAAGTGGTATCAATATCCAATTAATCGAGGGGCCCGCTTCATGTGTCCAGCAAAAGTCATGCAAAGCTGATTCATGTAGCAAGCATGAAGGTTTCCAGAAGCAATGTGGTGTATATGCATGATAAGTTTTATGAAAAGAAAAAAAGAAAAATTGTAAAAGGGGAATTATTCATAGCTAGCTTAGAAAAAAAAACTGTTTCATGGCCTCATCACAGGCAATAACCTGAGGACCGAGCAAAGTAACCGCTTAGTGCTTCTCGTTGGTGTAAGCATCCTCGGACTCGCTCTCCGCAGCCGGAGGCAGGGTGAAGGTATCCTGCTTGGCAGGCACATTCTTCTCCATACCCTTGAACATGGGGCTGGTGCGGTGGAAGTACGTGTGCACGTGGCCCTCGAGAAGGGAGTCATCGGTATCCAGAGCATCTGAAGCATCCTTCTCGGCGGACTTGGCGGCCATGGCGGTCTCCCACTCGATGCGGTACTCCTCGACCTTCTGTTGGTAGTCGAGTTCGGCATCGTAGTAGCGGGACTTTCGCAGGACGTAGCGCTCGTACCATGACAGGTGCTTGGGGTGCACAGCAGGACCGTGGTACTCTTCCTCGCGACCAGTGCGGAGGTATTGCCAGCGGCGCTCCTGCTCCTTTAAGTCCAGACCAGTGGTGTCGGGAAGGAAAAACGCGGTGATGATAGCACCGGCCAGACCGAACCAAGGCACAACGTAGAACTTGGTCTGGGTATCGATGTAGTTGTACAGGACGGCAGCGAGAAGGGCACCGGCCTTACCCCAGGCAGCGGACATACCGTGAGCGGAGGCACGAATGGGTGTGGGGAACACCTCGGCAGCAACCAAGAAGGAGACCGAGTTGGGACCGAACTGGTTGAAGAAAGAGCTCAGGAAGTACATAGCCTGGAAGGCCTTGATGTTCTCGGGACGGCGGTAGTAGTCGAAGTTGAAGGCAGGAACGACAAACAGAATGAAGCAGAGCATGAAACCAACGATCTGCATCCACTTGCGGCCGTACAGCTTGTTGTCGATCAGGAAAGAGGCCATGTAGTATCCGCACAGAGAGACACCGACATTGACCAAGTTCCACAGCCAGGTGGGCATGACAGAGCTAGATGCGGGACTGATCACCTTGATGAACTCACTCTGGAAAAGCTTGTTACCGTAGAAGAAAACATCGTTGGCGAACCAGCCACCAGCAGTTGCGAACATGCGGAATCCGAAGTACTTGAAGGTCAGCTTCAAGGACTCGGCATCATAACCAGTGACGGAAGCCTTCTTCTTGGCAGCGGTAAGTTGCTTGCTAGCAGCCTTCATGTGGTAGGCACGGTAGTAAACAAGCCACAAAGTACCGACGGCGGGAATGGCGAAAGAAACACGGTAGGTCCACTGAACAGAGACGGCGGAGTAAGGATTGTTGCCACTGCCGTGGTGGAAGCAGAGTAGGAGAATGATCAGGATAACCTGATTGAAGAACTGACCCCAGCCCTGCATCAAGAAAGCGGAAGTAACTTTGCGGCCACGGTGCAGGCGATCTTCTTTGGTGGAGACCTTTCCAGAGCCGACGGCATTTTCCATACCGCTAGTGGCAGTCATGGGGTACTCACCACCAACACCGATACCGTAGATGAAGAGACACCAGGCATAACAGATGATCCAGCCATTCTGGGTGACACCCCAGGCGGCAGTCAACATAACAAGACCGAGAAGCATGATAACGGCATCCTGGATCAAACCCCATCGACGGCCAAGCCTAGTCCCAGGTTAGCATAGTCTCATTTCCCAAGGGTAATACAATTGCAGCTTACCAGTCACCCAAGATACCGACCAGAATCTGACCCACAATAATACCGATGATCTCGAGGTAGTCAATAGCGTAGATCCACTGCTGACTGCAAGTTTTGGCGTGTTTCCAGCAAGCGGGAAAGGCTGCTTGGAAGAGAGGCTTGATGTTGCCGATAGAGAAGAGCACGTAACCCTCCAGACCGAGACCGGCACCAGGGAGGACCATGTTGCGGAAGTAGTAAGAGATGGGCGAGAGGGGGTCCACCTTAATCATAGACCAGATATCCTTCAGTTCACGCTTTGCCTCCATGTTGTTGTAGGAGGTGACGAATGTGATCTTCTTCCACAGCGGGAGATCAGCCCAGTAGACACCCTCGGGGGTGTAGCTGTCATCGGGGCGAATGAGGGAATCGAAAGCACCCTTCTCGTTGATGTCCATATCCTCCAGCGGGTTGTGGTCTCCCGACATGTCGGGCCCATGAGGGGCACGAGGACCAAAGTCGGCCATGGTGGGAGTGTTCACTGACAAGTGTCGCGTGAGCAAGAACTTTGTCTATGAACAAGTTCAATTCCTGGTGAGGGAAGAGTCGAAGTGACCACAGTTGTTGGGGAAGGTGAGTGACTTCAACCCAGGAAAGTGGCGATTGACTTCTTAAGTATGAGAAAGGTGGGAAAGGTGGGAAGAAGAAGAAGTGAGAAGTGAGGGACCGGAGCGTGGAAGACATGCAACGGCACAATTTAGTGTCTCCACTTCAAACTCAGAAAAATTGGCCAAAAAAAAAAAAAAAAAAAAAGCTTGGAAAGTCAGAAGGCAAGAACCACTCTATCTCGGGATCAGGGCCCTCTGGGGCCCTCTTTGGGTGTAGTTATGGGTCTGCTCTTGCTGGTTTTGGCTCCGGAAGCAGAATTTCTACTTTTAGTGGATCTAGGTGGGTCAGGCGGGTCTGATATGGAGCGACCGGGGACCAATCAACTACGCACGTGGGGGCAGAATGTCAATTTTGATCGCCACCGCCTGCGGTTCGTGGCAGATCTCTCCAAACTTTCGCGGGGGCAAATAAATTCTGTTCACCGTTTGACCTGGATGTTCAATAATAATTACTCCTATATGTACGGAGTATCTACAATATCACATTATTTGTAGGAGTTATGAAGTGTTTACAACGAATAGGTTTTATGCATAGACCTAAACATCAACTCTTGGCTAAATCCTCATTGCCAAGGCGATGCCAATGCAATGCCAATGAGATGCTATCGGGCAAAGTGGCAACCGCCTTATTCAAACACCTAGTCTCGGAGCCGAAGCTCATCTCGGATCCAAGGTAATATCATTTGCGCTTTGACACACGGGCAGACTTTCTATGGCGAGTGTCCAATATCTCTGATAGGCAAGGAAGAAATCATTGCTCCTAAAAATCACTTCCATATGGTCCAGCACTAAAACGGGCCGCATCTGGGCCATTGGATATTGACGTAGTGGCTGAGGCAGTTCCACGCTAGTTGGCAACCCCGGCATCTTCCATGCATGATCTCTGACCAATCAGAGTGTAGCATTGGACCATGTGCAACTCCATTCTCCGCACCTTCCCTCGAAATCTAAACCTACCTCCAACACGTGTTATCACGTTGTGTGTCACTGCTTTCCTACATTCCGATCTATCCGGTGTAGTTAGTAGATGTCATGAGCGAGATTGTCATTGACACAAGTTGCCTGGTGAAATCTGATTCAAACGAAACTAAAATTGTATGCTATCGACCATGTTGGACCAAAAACACGTCTGATATCGATACATGCGAGCATATTGACATCAAGACCTTCCAGAATCTTGGCCAAAGCTTGCTTTATTTCCTCGCATCAGCACAAGCAATTCCAAGCAATCCAAGCAATTCCAAGCCTGTCAAGCAATGGTAAGCGTACCGGCAAGGCGTCGCCAAGTGCGCTTCTACAATGCTTAGTCCTGGATTTGATAATAGCACGCACGTGCTCGCGTTTCGCGTGGTTAATTGTCCAGAAACAAGGGGTCAATTCACGCGTAGTTTGATGTCTCGGGTCACCCACCTACATTAGGATACTCGGGAATGCATCAAAGAAACTTTTGTACCCACCCAAGGTGCCCAGGGGTGCATTGCGTATGACATGCGCCCTGCAGATTGATTTGGCCCAATTTCCCCTTTTTTCTCATTTTTGTTTTCCAAAGGGGCTAGGCTATATGGTTTACTTTTGTTGTACGTGGATACCTAGACGATCTCGGGCTGCACTGGACATCTCATGATGAACGGCCAATGAGGGCAAATGACTTTCGTTGCTTATTCCGTCTTTCCCATTGGCTGCTCGGTCTGGGATTCCACCTTTGCACTTCGCCCCGCCCTTCTTTTGCAGGATGCATACGGAGCACATGAGCTGCCTTCTAGAAAAGCGGCCCGTTTCAGAAGATTGCCCTGGTGTTTCAGCTGCTTTGTACATGTGCCTTGCTGCGAACTGGTCTCCAGACGGTGTGGATCCAGGGTGCATCGTCTCAGCCCTGGAGGATTCATGGATGGCACTACATCACACGTACTAGTCGACTAAATGACTAAGTAGGAAGGTACGTATGTAATGCTCGGTATCTCCGAACCTCACACAGCCAGTCGACCAAACCCGTGGACGTTGGGAATAATCAATAATAATCACCGAAAGCCATGTCTTCTCCTAGTTTCGTATCGCGTCGTGTCTAGACTCGATATATGACACCCTGCAGCCCTAGAATCAGATTTATTGGAACGATTCTACCTAGGTAGCCTTAGCGTTCTATCGAATCAGCGCTAAGTGCACACCTACCTTCCCAGTCTGGATTCTAGTGAGAGCAAGCCACTAGTTCCCAGTGGTTGACTTGGTTCGTTCCTCGCATCGAGTCTCTACCTTGCATGTTGTCTCACGTGGTTGTGTTACTGTCCCTTATAGGGTGCGCTAAAAACTACGCTGATGTTATTATGA